TTAACGTCTAGCCAACCAACTTAGTATAGGCTATAGCAGTGGCATCACCAGGATATAAAATTACTACTATTAAATATAAAATACTAAATTGTAATCTATATTAACATTTTCAATTCAATTAAATCCCATTATAGATGGTAATATAAATAAACTATACTAACATATTAGTTGTATAACCTGTGAAAAATAAACTACCTACTTATATAATTATTATTTGTGAGTTTGGACTTATATATTCGGATACATTACTATATAAAAATGAGAATGCATTCCCAGCAGTAGACAATTCTATGAAGTTAAAGATAAAAGTGAAATATATAATTCAATACTATGTAAACACATATACATACATACATATATACCAAACGCATATATATTATATATAATTTATTGATTGTAACTTATTATGCCCATTTTTGGTTCGAAAATTAAAAACGCCATCAGCCAGAACTCCAAGGACACTGAAAATATTAGACATTTATTCAGAACGGACTTTATAATTTGTTTACTATGATTTAAAATATGAAAAATATGCTTGAAACAACGTGTGATTAATCGCTGGTTAAAAGTAAGCAAAAATATATTTTTTATGAATATAGGTAGTACCACTATAACTATCTTGGTATACCAGCTAATTTATATATTATTTTAAACAATACGCTAATGAAATATTTTACAAAATACTAATAAATAATACTACAATAGGATTTCTTTTCCAAGGCTACGAAACTTAATCCGAATTCTTTTAAAAAAAAATATTTAAATGTTTTCTTGTAAGCTTTTATAAAAAGTACAGTTGTCACTCACGTCACACTCATTTTCATAATTTATTTAACTAATATCTAATATTTCAAAAACAATTATATATATGGATTAAATACAGATTCTTAAATGTCAGTTAATATATTTCTCTTATTTAATTACGGTCGTCGAGCTTTATAATCTCGAAGTTTATAGCATGAAGGATGTTGATTGTGTAGAATTCTTTTATTTTTATAAATAAAATATTATAAAACTTAGTATATCTATACATATAGAAACACTACCTATAGAAATATAAACTAAAAAGTGTCTCGAATAACACCGAATCATACTTTGTATAATGTCATTATATCTGTATATTATAGTATTTATTAATACCTTCATTATACTATTTAAACGTACCAAATGCAAATAATAACCTCGCCTAATTCGTTATTGTGTGCGAATGATGTGTGTACTCGTATAGTATACCTAACCTTACATATAGCTTATGTGTTATATATGTACAGGGTAACTCTTTTAAAGGTATAAACACTTATTTTCTCGAATACTCTAACGTTATTTATTTTTTTTTTTTATTAAATAATTATAATTCGTGACAAAACATTTTCTTTTTTACTATTTTTTTTATCTTTATGAACATATAGTGATGTGGCAGTATACGCAAATCCTCAAAATATCGGTCATTCACGCTACCTATATTTCATTTGTCAAAACTTTATGTACCTACTTATAACTTATAATTTATTAATTATTCACTTTAAATCCTATTTGTATTTATTAAAATACCCAAAAAATTATTTTGCTTTGGTATATTAAATTAAAAATTGACATTAAATTACCTAAAAAAATTCTTCCACAATATTTCACACAATATATATTAATTGTACTATTATAGTTTTCAATAAGTTAGAAGCTCCTAATTATCGTATACATATTTTAATACATACATGGAGCAATAATAGATAACACTGTTATAATAAGCATTCGTCATATATGTAAAATATTAAATAACTTTTTCATTAATTTCCAAACTTAACGAACATTCTGTATACATATATATATTTAGTATACAGTATACTATAACACATTCCATATCTACATAAAAAAGATAATAAAGTTATAAAATATGGGTGTAGTGCTGCCTCTTACCTAGGTATTATTGTATTACATTATATAAATTAACTAGTTAGTTAAGTTTTTTAAAAATTTACTTTTTAACTATCTAGTTAATTACCAATTTTTGCAGTTATCAATTATTTTTGCACAATATTAAATCTACACTTTTCAACAATTTATTTCACAAATCATGATAAAAAGGGCGATATTTTCTAAATTGAACAAATTTTATTTCCGATGACCAGTCTTTAAAATGATTTTCAGCCATCCATGTTGCCAATCGCGATTCGCTCGTTCAATCAACCCTTGGCTTTGGTTGTGCCTATTGGTTTGCTGTGAACTATTTTAACATCACACCACATCATTATAATTCAGTGATTAAAATTCTCTTCCGTTATCAGAAAAAAATTGTTGCAGATACCTACACCAAATGTTGTATAGTTGTATAGTCTGGTATAGATATTGATCAAATTAAATGCTATTAAGGATCTAACTATCTAAGTAATACACATTTTGTAAGATTATCCTCATAAATAATAATAAATTTAAATTCATTAAAATGTTGAGTTTGAAAATCAATAACGTTAACTTAGGCTTATAAATTGAATGCATTACTAATTTAGAAATTATAGGCCTCGCTTTGGATTCGATCATTTTTTTTACTGTGCTTACAGAGACTTAAATAGATCATTAAAGTTTCCTTGAAAATATTATAATATTTTGTTTTTAATTCATAAATGAATAGTCTACCTATATTAGAATTTGTGGAATAAAATTACTGAGCCGATAGTGTGATACTGCAATATTCACAAATCGAAAAAATGGGTGCAGGTACAATAATGTAGCGTACGGGATAAAATTGCGTATTGTCACATAATATGATAGCGGAGTCGATAACTTTTAGAACTCGAGATCAATATAATTGTATTATTTGATTTTAAAGATCTTACTGGAACTTATAAACATATACATAATAATATATATTATGCATGTATGCATTGATATGTGTAAATATGCAATATGTATTATCTAATATTTATATTAGCGTGGCGGCGTGACGCGTGTTTTGATAGTCAAAGGCGACGCGCATTTCAATGTAATCGTAATAAACAAATTGAAGTGATTGAACAATAACGATTAATCCTTGGCACGTACGCTAGCTATGTACGATATAAGTAATAACGAGAGATAGGACGATGAGATCGCAAAATCGCATCATCGTAAAAGGCGTTACAAACTTACTAAATAGTTACACTCAGTGAAACGTATAATTTTATTATCGTTTACTAGATACCGTGCGTTTTAAAAAAATTGTATGACTACATATCAATACATGTATAATGTCTATGTATACGATATAAAATTGTATATGCATACACATACACACACAAACACACACACATTCCTCATATCGGTCATATTCCCGTGCACTTCATTATCCGTACAAAACGCATCAGTGTTAAATTTGGTTGCCTAATAGGTACTAATATTTAGTGTAACACATGTGGATAAATAATATTTTTTGTTTTTCTGATTTAATGTATAAATAATGTTTCTGCATATAAATTTTATTCTATATAGCTGTCTCCCTAACGTTGCTTTTTGACCATTAAACAACAGCATTATTTTAAAGTTTTTTTTTTCGATGAACGACCTAAATTGGCTAAATTTGATTTATTTTTTATTCTGGACCAAAAACCAACTATACCTACTCATAAAGTTCTATAATAGCGTTAGCCAGAAACAACGAAAATGTTTTGTATCTATACTATTATACTACATAAATCATTCATTAAAATACTAATTTATAATAGTTATAATTGGTAACATGAATGAAAAAAAAATCTGTAAGTGTATATTATTATAACTATTATTATCATTATCGTCATTTTTATTACTGTATCATTACACATTTATTTTTTTCTTATAAATATTTGTTAAAAAAAGCTTTAACTACAAGATATTATTTATATAATTCAATATTTCATACCCACATTATGTTGTAGTGGCGGATCTGAAGCTCATTTAAGGAGGGAGTGAATTGGTAAACTAGAGGACCAATTTTTAGAAAATTAAAATCTAGCAAGCCAGAACTTAAAAAGCAAAAAAAAATAATTCATTCAAAATATGCATTTTAATTAGTATTTATTTTATTTATAATGTGAATTGATGTAGCAAGGAACTGATAAAAAAAGGTTCGCGGCCCGCCAGTTGTCCACCCATTTTTTACATAAAAAGCCCATGGGGGAGGCGATCCGCCGCTGTAATATGTTGTCCTCTTCGTAAATGAAAATGATCAATTTTACGTTCGCAATAATCCGTTTTACTCTGTTATTTTTAAAACTAGTACGAATCGACCTACTATAAAATGTAAATCTAAGATTATTATTTAGGATATTACGGAGACTATTATTAAAATTTTAATTTTAAAGCAAATTATAATTTTTTTTAAATTAATAAAAAAAATACAGCCTTAAAATAGCCATAACTTGTTTCGTAATCAAAATATCATTAGAACCTTTAGAAATACTCTAGATACCTAATAATCTTATCTTTAAATTTTATAATAGGTCAATTCACTCCAATTTTAAAGTAACATAGTAAAATGAATTATTTTGTAAACAGAATTTGCTATGTTATACGTTTGAACGTTGTAAAACGGAAACAACACACGCAGGAGTTCTCTTAGAAGAAGTCAGTTCACTATTTAAATTTTCTTTCTGATAGTTTGATCCGGTATTACAATTTAAAAATGTTTGAATATCGGTATATCGCGGAAAAATTGAAATAACGTAAGAATGTCGACATAAAAATAATACAAAAATAATTTTCTGAACTTCGACTTGACTTTAGGTAAATATCACGGGTATATTTTATTTTATTTAACAAAATCCAACACAATAAACAAGAGCACAAGACATATTATTATGGAGACAACCATAATAATTAAATAATAATAATACGGTTATGGTCGTATACTCGTATCACTCGTATCTCGTACGGGCGGCTGCTGTGCGATGCGTCGCCCCGCTGGCCGCTGCCACCACCATCGTCGTCGTCGCCGTCGGTAAGGTTCGGCTCGCGACGTATGTAATAAAACCGTACGAAACAGTCTGGTTTACACTCGACAACCCGCCGCCGACGCCCGTCGCCCATCGTTCGATCAGTCGTTATCTTGGACCAGTCCTGTTCGAACCTCGTACGCTCCTACTTCAATCGTACCAGTCACCGTTTACTGCACAATATAATAGTATTAATAACCGTCGATCACGGGCGTGTATAAATAAACAATAACCGATACACTCGTCGTCGACGACTGTTTCGCCCAGTACCATATCAATATCTCGTAAACCATATCTTTCCAAAAAATGGCTAACAACAGAGCAACCAAGTCTGGTTTCGCCGCCGAAGCGCAACGCAAAGTGAGTTATTGTTAACTTATTATTTTTTAAACATCTTATACATCACTATCGGCTGCACTTATTTGCTGGTATATAATAATTATTATATTTTACTACCTATGGTTTACGTTCCGCGAGTTGAAGAATGCACGACATGCATACCGTGTCGATGTTTCGTGGCGCGTTTAATCACGATATTAAGTGCCGACCTTATACAGCGTAGGCTATAATAATGTGCAGGCGTGCAGCTGCTATATTATAATTTGTAATAAACGTTAATTTCAAGTTACCGCCGTGCATCTCTGCTCTAGAGCATCTGTTTGATTCTGACAGGTGCCGTCCATTACGTAGCACACCGTTCACGTAATAATATTATGGTATTTGATGAGACTGATGAATGATGATTAATAGGACTGTAACGTTTGTAATCACTATTTGAATCGATTAACATACAAATATTACAAACTGGGTACTATAACTTTCGAGTCTGTATCGCTTGCGATTTTCGTGTATGCGTTATCGTATTATAATCTCTGCATTTCTAGTGCAACAACTGCAATACATGAAACAGGATATTTATTTACTGTAAAAATAACTACAGGACATCGCATCTCGTGTTTCGCGGAACCCCATTGCTGATGGTGCAATTGATCGTTATTTTACCAACAAAATCTATTATTGTAAATCACAATCAAGGTTGGTAGGTTGTCAAGTTTTATTTCAACAGTGTAACAAAAGAACGCGTAACAGTATGACGAATTTTTTGTTTTCCGACCAATACCAAATTCCAAGGTTCTAAATTCGTTGGTACGAGATAGATAGGTGTAAATATGTATATTATATTAAGCATTTAAATAATAAATATATTATATTAGCATCCATGAAGATCGATTGTTAATAAATATTATTGTTATTCCCCTGTGGTAAGAGCTGGTCATACAACGTCTCCCTCTTTCCTACTCGTTGGCGCCTGTGGGCTGTGCATGAAAAAAATGTCTTATATTATTATATAGGTCAAACGCACCTAGAATTAAAGTCCATGCTCGTTCCGGGTAAATCCAATTAAATGTGTTTACATTCTATCGCTGTGAGTAAATTAGCTTGTGTATGCATTATATTTTATTATTATTTTGTAGTTGCAAGTTTTTAATTATTGAAAACGATGACAAAAAAAATATTCCACGAAATAACGTAGTATACATAAATACTATATCAAATTAAATAAGTGTGCATGTATTATTATATACCATACGCATATAGTATTATAGTAATTTTGCTTTTATATTACGGCATTGTTTGTCATAAACTCGTAACCCGTAAATAAACATTTCGGTAACCCGATAACCAAACTGAATCCAATTAAATGAATTATTTCGCATCTTCTATTAAGTATACTACAAAAATAGAATTTATTTTACACTTTCGTTTTTCGATCGGTTCTAAATTCTAATCAGATTACTTTTATATAATAGATATATAACTTTCGCAAAGCCCATACATTAAGTATTAAAACACATAATACTACACCTATTCTATACATAATATTTTTAAAACAATTCAAGATACGTTATTTTAGATTCAGAATACCTTTATTATAACTTATCACTAATTAGTAATTAGATACATTCTAGATGTTGTTATGATGCGATGACGAATAAAAATTCGATGGGACTAAAATTCCTGTACGCCGATAATCGTTAAGTTGATCGATTCTATTAGTTCACCAAGTGCTGTACGTACTGTGTAGTGTGGTTTGTAACTAGACATATCTAACAAGAAACGTATGTCAAAAAACAAAAATAAAATGGCAAAATATTTTTTAACATAGTTCTAAGTCACTGATATCATCGGTACTCGCGAATAACGGTTTCAAACTGTCGGCATTCGTTATAACTTTATAAATTATTAATTATTAATTACTATTTATTGTTACAAGTTATGAGTTATAATTACTATAGCTAAACCCTGGATTTATATGCGATATAAATCCATGAAATATTCAGATTCATATCATAAATATTCAAAAAACATAAGACAATTTTTTTTTTTTACAAATTAATAATAACAAAAAATACTAGTTTACCAAGTAAAATTATTAGTTAATCTAATTATATGTATACCTAATAAAAGTTTATTAAAAGAAAATCAGAATAAATTATTTTTAAGACAAAGTATTGCACTATTTATATTAAATTATGTGACGAGTACCAGCATGGGGTAATAAAAATTGATTTCAAGTTTTCGAATTGAAAACTTCTATGATTATATCGAAGCGTACTTTTGTAATTAGAATAATTTCTTATCACGTCACAAGATACAATTGGTGCATACTTAAAACCAAATATATCTTTAATTGATAGTTCCTCATTTTTTCCACTTTCTATTACTTCACCATTAATTATAGAATCGATTTTTTTTTCAATGTAGAATATCCTGATTTTTTGACAGAATATTCGTAAATTTGGATATATTAAAATCTATCCTTAATTCTTCTTTTTACAACTTATTTGTGAAGGTGCTTTTAAAAATATCTTTTAGTATATGAAATTAATAGATAGACATTTTAATATATTTCTCTATGACTTTAGCTATTCTTTGTAGTCCATGAACAAATTACTTTAAAAAAATCTGTATTTCATCAAATAGTTATCCCGAATGAAAAGCAAATTTTACTATTTTAATTAATATTGTAGAATATGCAACGTTTATGCAATATTCAGAAATATGTAATTTATATTATGCATTTTTAATCAAAATTATTCTAGGTGAATTACAGAAGAAGAATATGTACTTACATAAAAATCCGGGCCCTAGTTATAACTTATAAGTCATTATTATTATTTTAATTATTATTATTCACTTGCGTTGTATTACGTAATTTTCTTTTTATAAGCTCCGACATTAAACCATGAATACAAATTAATATTACATTATTTAAATACAGTATATTTAAACGTCTATCCAATCTTTATTGTCTAATAATATTTTATATAATATTATATTATACAATATTGTAGACGGTAGTTTTTATTGGTACCTTCAGGTGACTTCTGACATACCTTGCTGATAAAATGTCGGTTAAAATCGTATTTTCAGATAATTCTACTGCTCCTACGCTCATATATTATTATGCTTGTAGCTGAGACTGAACCGGTTTTTCCTTCCAACACAAAGATAACGCGTCTTTTTAGAATAACTCCTCGACAGGCTCGACATACCAAAGTTAAAAAGTCATTGTGTAGGCGTAATTTACATCTCTACTTATTTGCCTTGTTTCACGTTGATCGTCATGGTTGTATCTAATTAGTCTGTTTATAATAAATGCAATGAAGATAAAAATAATAATAATTTTGTCTCAGTCGATTAAGTTTTTTTTTTAAATAAGTATAAGTTTTGCAAATTGTAATTGTGTATCTTAGTTGAGCAATTTACGTTAACACTAAAAATTAAATGATTATATTTGATTTCGATACATGACGCATGTGTATGTCGTCATACCATTTAGCATTCCATGTGAATAGTAATGTTTTTATTATTAAGTGTTTTTTTTAGATAAACCTGTATACTATAATACTGTTACTAATGCATATTGTTATATCCGGAATAACTAAAACATAACCATTATTATAATCATTTTATATATTATTTTAACAATTTTCAGAATATTCTATAACGTATGATTATTTTTCTTTGAAATAAATTATTCGTGTAACAATTAGTTGTGTTTTTAACAATGTTTCGGTTCGTGTAACATCACTTCAAATAATAATATTAATTAATATTTTTCTAAGTACATATAATTAAACTATTTAATATAGTTTATTTTATACAATTCCTTATTTAGCTGAATATTTTTAAATTATTATAACCAATTATACGTGTAAAGGGTTTTTTTGACGAAATCCTTGATTCTAATACATGTATTGTACAAACAGATGGCCTCATGTATCAATCGATGATTCATCTTAGTGTTTCTTCTATATATGGCCGTGTCGCTTTTTCTAATAAGATACCGTATATGGCCAATGTGGGTCGATTGGTTTTTGCTCGTTTGCGTTACTATCAAGTGTTGTATATATGGGTCAATAGGTTTTTGAAAACTAAATGCCGGGAATTATGTGATTATATGTGAAGACTGATAAGACTAGGTGTGGGAATACGAGATAAACTTTTTACCAGAGTTTTTACTTTATGAATTAAATTAAATAGATACAGACTCTAAGCTAAAATTACCAATTTTTATCGATTTTCAATGTATTCCATCTTTTAAATTATTTATTTTTCTAAATAAATTAATCTGTATAATTATTTGTGAAGTCAAGAACACTACTTAAAAAGTACTCGAACTTTAGAACTAATATTGTTTATTGGAGTGGGTGCTGATTAAAATGTAATCATTCGTTTTTAAACTACACAAAATTTAATTTAATCCTAACGAATATAGTTATTTCATAATACCTACATATATACTTTTAAATAGTTATTATTATTATTAAAACAATTAGTCTTAATAATTAAGTGGTTGTTTATTAGTTATTAGTTATTCCATATATAAAATATAAATAAACAAAAGTTAAATGATAAAGTTTGTTTGATGTATATACCTAATGGTAAAATAGGGAATATAATTTTAAAAGAGGTAGGAGCGGGAATGTGATTTTTAAAAATTTCGTGCAACAAATTCTAAGGCATCCATTTTCTTCAAACACGTATATTAATATCTACGTGATAACTAGAAACTAAAGACATACTATAAAACTGTAGTATATTACATATTTTGTACATGGATTTCCGTCTTAATCCGTATATTATGCTCTTTATGCTAAGCTTAGAAAAAAAATAAAAGTAATAATAACTATAATATCAATTCATATCTTTTTTTAGATACGTTAAATTACTCAAGAAAGAATTACCTTGAAAAGATAACTGGAAACTACTTAGAGAATTTATACTTTTCTTATGACAGTTAATTTTGTCGTAAATTATGGAAATATTTCGATTACACACAATCCTTAATGTCTTATTAGTTATTAGTTTTTGCTTATCAGTTTATCACACATAAAATTTATCAAGCAAAATAATTATTTTGGGAAATTTAGGCTTAAATTCTGCCTCCAGCCCAGAGGCAACCATTAGTTGAAAGGAATATATTTTGAATGTTAATATGTTTATCAAACGATTTTAAAGGGGCAATAACCCTCAGTAGAGACTAAATTGTGGTAACAATTTGAGGCAGTAATAAGGATTAGAAATATGATTTTTAAATAGTTATCTCGTCTTAATATGTCTATAGTATCAATGATAGTTTCTAAAAATAATACAAAGACGTACCTTAAATAATTATTTGTATAAACATTTCGTCCTTTTTTAATTTAAAATAAACTACACCTATTATTCTTATAATTTTTCATTATTATTAAAATATCTATTAAAAAATCTATTAAACTTTAAATTAAAATAAAATAGTTCAATTTTCATAGTCATATAATATGTTTTTATATTATAGCATATTATAGATTGATTAATTAATCGTGTCATATAAATGTTAAAAATAATAATTAATAGCATTATAGCATTGTTACGATAGATTATATAAGTATTATTAAATGTTTTGAATAATTATTTCTCAAATATCCATTGTTGTGTACTCACGATTTCACATATGAATGTACCAACGTAGATATACGTGCTTCCTTCTTAAACCTTGATGACTAGAAATTTAAAAAATAAACAGTAGGAACGAGTTTTTGTTGGCTGATTTTAGCGATGACATCAACAACTAATTATTCCACGTTCAGCACATTCTCGAGAAATGTATTGGGCACTTGAATATTAAGTATATTGTCCATTAGCCGGAGTTAAAAAGAATAAGTATAAACAAAATACTTAAGTGAAAATACTTGATATCGATGTGTTAATTGTAATAGTATTATACAAAAATGTTAAAAGCAATATAATATGGAGATAAACCTATTTAATTGTTTAAATTATTAAATGAATCGTTAATGTTTTATTTATTCAGCTGTTAAAAATAGTGAAACAAATGTTGAATTACTTTTAAAAAAATAATATTAATTTTAATTATGTCTATTGGCTATTTTACTATTTTACTTTCTTGTAGATACTCATAGCATTAATTTGTAATTTATATCTTGGTTTTTTTATGATTCAAAAATCAAAATAGTTTGTCGAGTATTTTCAAAGTACAAATATTATCCAAGTAATAATTTTAAAGAAATCTCAAAAATATAAATAAATATAATGTTATGTTGAAAAAATATGATTTCCATTGAAAATACTACAAAAAAAATATATATATAAAAGAAAATATAATATAATTTTTATAATTTGTTATAATATATTATGATGTTTAAATAATAGTATTATGAAATATATTTGTATTATATTGCTTATATTGTTATTTTTAATTGCTTGTTTTAATAAATAAAATAAAAATTTATAAAGCATGTATATTAATAAATTTATAGTTTTATAGTTGGCCTATACTCTACAAGCGAGTACCAAAATGAAAAGTATAATTTAAATAGTATCTTTTTTGCTATATATAAACTGTGAATATATACTAAACCAGAATCATTTAATATGTTTATATACTATAATATTGTACTATTATACGTTTATACAGGATAGTTTTTATAGTATAAACTATAAGACACAAATTTTTAAAACTAAAAACATTCAGTCATTAAAAAATAATAAATATTTTTTTAATTTTCTACTTTTTTTATTTTTTTGGAGGTTTTTGATACTTAGTAACTTAATTTTTAATGAGTAATTAATTAATCATAAACGTTTAAAATTGTTTATGAGCGAATTAGAAGATCCATACTTTATGTAGAAAAGTGCCACTATTCTAATTTACTTTGTTCGTTTAATCCAGCGACTCACAATTTGTGTGGCGTAAGCATTTAATAGGGGGGGGGGGGAATGTAAATATTGATATTGCACCTATACACTATAAGTACTAATATAGTACTATTATACAGAATACACTAACAAACAATATTGTTTCATTCATTCAAGAAAGGTGCAATTACATTTTTTATTTTTGAGAACGCATGAACCAAAAATGTTTGAAAATCGCTGATCTATCCTTCAAATACTTATAAGTTATAAGTTATAACCAACTAATCGTTTAAAATTTAAATTTTTATGCGTTGAAATGCTATAAATAGTAAAAAATTATTTATAGTTTTTGAAATAAATAACGAATTTCTATGTATAACATTATTGAGTTTTATTATTTATAGATGAAATTATTGAGTTTAGATAAAAACTAATTGAAAGGTTAGGCGTATTAGAATATTTTTAGTTGGTACTATTTACTATCAGTATTAACTAGTTGTGAATTAAAACAAAAATCATAAGAAAAATGGAAAATATTAAAATCATTTAAAATATGTTTTATATTTTGTTCAATGCCTCAAGAAATAACCTTTAAAACATTTGTATATATATAGATCAACAGCAAATACAGCGAAGAGCTAGCACAAGAATGTTTGGAGTGGGTAAGCAGCGTCACTGGTTTGCCATTGAACACATCTGGTGATCCAGACAACTTTTTTGAAGTTCTTAAGGACGGACAAGTATTATGCCAGTGAGTCATATTCTACGTAATAAATGAAATATTACTTTCGAACTGATAAAATATATCCTTGAATTGTTCATAAAGATCTCTCGTCACTTTCATATTGTTTTAGTTTATACATTAATCATTAATTTTGATTAATATTGTATATACCTATTATTTACATAATATATATATAATAATCATTATTATAAAATAATGTGCTGTATATATAATCAGAGTATGGAATATTCTAAAATATGATTAATATTACTACTTACTAGCAATAAAACAGATATTTCCGTTTTCTTTTCCTTTAATCCTGTATACGTATTTGTATACAAAATATAGGTTTATTTTATTATTACTTGCCTTTTTATTTAATTTCCACGTAAGCTTTGAGTAATATTTTTATTTCCCGTAGATTGGTAAACACTCTAATTCCTGGATCCGTTAAGAAAGTGAACACTAGTACGATGGCTTTTAAGTGTATGGAAAACATCAATAACTTTTTGGCTGTAGCTGTATCCATCGGCGTACCTTCTCAAGAAACCTTTCAATCTGTAGATTTGTGGGAACGTCAGAACTTGAACTCGGTGGTGATTTGCTTGCAGTCATTGGGTAGAAAGGTAAATTTAATTGTTTTTAATTATTAATACATTTATTTTTACAAGTACCGTTTATATAATATGTATAATTTATATATAGGCTGGTCAATTCGGTGCTCCAAGTATTGGACCGAAAGAAGCAGAGAAAAACATTCGCAACTTTAGCGAAGACAAACTTAAAGCCGGCCAAACTATCATCAGTCTGCAATATGGATCCAACAAGGGAGCAAATCAAAGTGGACTTAATTTTGGAAACACAAGACATATGTAAAAGGCTCGTCTTATTTTCCACAATGTTCCATGCCCAAATTTATATACAAAACTGATGCCGAATTTCCCAAAATTCTCAGATTTTATATACAGCCAACAAGTATACTTATACACTCCAGCGTAATATTTTAAACTTCCTCCTATGTCATAACCATTCCATAATACCAGTATTATTACGTATTTACGTAGGTGTAACTTAATTATTGTATCTTACACAAACAATTTATAATAATTTCATTTTGGGCATAAACTATCTTGTTATTATAATACGCGTTACAATTTTGAAAACAATATAATAATGAAACGAATTTTCGCGTTGAAGATATTTTGGAAATTTTCGTTTTTTTTTTAATAACTATTATACTATATAAATTAACAAGTTCATTATTTTTATTTATTTATTTCTTGGTACATAGTTGAAATATTTATTTTGTTTAATATATTATACCAATGTAAGATTTATGCATTTGTTCGAATACTCGAATGATTTATATAATTAAGTTAATTAAATTAACATTGAATAAAAAAAAAATATTATTTATTTCATTTGTGTGTTTATACTTTTTTTGTGTAATACCAATTTATCAAATATGTAATTCAGTATAGGTGCATATTTATTATCTATAATATTACACATTTATTCTATATAATTTTATTTATACTTTAACAATCAACTAAAACAATATTTTATCAGAGTGTGACCTGCCCTTTCCTAGATGAAATTATCAGTGTGAACAAGAAACGCCCACGTCTCAGTCGACTGTGGTCTTTTTGGTATTGTAAGTGATTTTTGTCAATTATTTTTTGAATCAGCGTGAATAAAAAAACTAAAGTTATTGCCTTAGATTTTGAGAAAAGTACATAATTGATATATTAATTTTACTTTTCGTTTTCTCGTTCTTCCTTGTACAAACAATTAATAGCAAATCAAAACCAACTGTGACAAAAAAAATTTAGTAGCCATGAAAACAAAGTCTGTACTTTGTGATGATCTAGCGACAGGTGACTAGCTGACTGTCACCGTATGTAACCGTTCAACGTTCAAGTATGAACGACTGGACCGTGGTTAGGTGATAGTGACTCGACCGTGACTGTTGTGTGATTGAACTGTAGCATTACCTATAGTGTAAACAGGGCATTAAGGCTTAAAGTATTCAATATGATGATAAATTTCTAAGGAATTTATATTAGTAGAGTATTGTATTATGTGTAACGTGGTATTTAAATGATTAAAATTAAATACATTTAAAAAAATATTTTCTTACAATTTTTATAATTTAGCTTTTAAATTCAAAGTGGAGCGATGATTTCACATTTATTAATAATTTTAATTATTTTGTTGTATTTTAAAAATAATTTTTATGGGAATTTAAAACTTGCGTATAATATTATATTTTATACACTATGATACATACAAGTGTAATGTTTTCGGATAAAATATATATTTATATTTAAGCTATTGATTATTTTATATCGTACTTATAACGCCTATTCGATTACTAATTGTAACATAGGTAGGTACATTTCTTTAAATATAGACACCATACAATATACGTTTTGAAATACAACCGACGGACCGTCTTTGCTCAGAATCGTTTCGAATAAAATGATATATCACTGAATTCAAATTTAACATTTTAATTAAAGTATCATATTTTAATGACGTGGTATACTCGACACATACCTATATTGTACAGCAGAGCGGCTACATAGTACATACTTAATTCCTCTTTCATTTTAAATTGACGATCAAGGAATCTGTTTAACCATTTCTACTTCACTTGTCATTATTACTTATTTAAACTAAAAATACGTTTCACTTTGTTGACCTCCCAAACATGTAGAGAGAGCCCTTCAATAAGAAGTATACGCTTTTTTGCGGTTCCACCATGTCACGTCTCCAAACTGTACACTGTATAGATCATTGTTTCTTAAACTGCAGTGTTCTGCAAAATCACGGAGTTTAAGTAATTTTTTTCAAAATTTTCAATAAAATTACTTTAAAATAACTAACTAAAGATTAGTAGCGGCTAGTGGAGAAAAAAAATGTTTGTACAACTTTCATCAATAAGCCCAATATTAGGAATATTTGTATTAATACAAAATAATTTCATCTATCTCGTTAAGATTAAAATTTAATCTAATTAAAGTGATTTAAGTATTATTATTATTTTTATTTTAACATATTTGTGCATTAAATACCTTCAACACATTATTATTATATGAAATAATTATAATTTTTGTTGCAATAATCCTAAATAAGCTAAAAAGTTAGAAAAAGAGTTTTTTAAGTAATAACCTCCCACTTTCCCCATTATGTTACTGTAAATTATTTAGCTGATAACAATTTAACACATTAAAATAAAACTTGAAACCAGTAGTTTTTAAGTTATTTAACTTTGTATATTATGGATAATATAACATATATAATATGATAAAGGGCTTAAAAAAGGCAAATGAGCTATGGATGTTTTGTAACGGTGCATCCGTAATCATAGCAATTTATATTAATCTATCAATATTTATAGTTCATAAAAATAGTTCAAGTTTAATGAATATTAGATCCAAAATTACATATATTGTATGTATTTGTAGAACCATTTTTAAAAACTAATATATTTAATATGAAAATTTTAATAACTAAAAATCTAGGTATTCGTTCAAATTTTGAATTAGGTACATCAACATTAAAAAAAAAGTTGTCTATTAATAATTTACAGTAAAAAAAAAGGGATTCTAATTTGAAAATATAAATTTGTATCGTTTTTGATACTTTTTAAGTAATAAAAAAAATCACAAGAATTTGAAAATATGATTTTTAAATACATTTAAAAATTAAAAAAATTAAAATAAATTCATTATTAAACAAAAATAAATTGAGGTAAGCATGCTTAGTGAATATATATTATATACTTTATAGGTACTATTACTAGGTACTATTATATACTGTTGCAAGTTGAGATAAATTTTAAACGTCACAGTTAAAAATATAATTTAGCATAGTTCATTGTATAATTATTGTGTAAAACAACACACGTGTAAAGCGTTTAGTTTACATCGAAATAATTAAAATATTGATTTTGGCATATCCTAAAAACAATTTTTTGTTTCTTAAAACATCGTACCTAAATGTATTGTCTACCCATAAAGTATCGTTATAATTTTATCAGAATATCAGATTGCTGAACACTTAATAGTCATATGCATGCATAATGTATAAACATAATATCTCCGTTTTCTTATTGAGCTTAAACCTAAATAGCTGCAGCATTCATCAATATACAATTTTTTCAAATATTTGCTTTATAACCATATGTCTATATACATGGCTATTAAGTACGTTATATCTACTAAAAGTATCTTATATCCATACTTATTAATTATAACTAAATTTCAGAAGTCATAGGAATTTTACATTAATAAAATAAATACATGCTCTATTTTAACATTCTCAAACTAGAAAGCCATCCCATTCACTGACTTGTTTAAAATATATATTATAAATTAATACTTTTATATTTTAGAAAAAAGGTAGATATTCCTTAACAGCATTTGTACAGAAAATGCCTCTATCCAATGAAACAATGTTTTCTATTTTCTATAATTTATGTTTTTATTTAATGACTTACGTCATATATAAATAATTTAGTTACAAACACAGTATAGGTACTAGAATAGTTACACTTAAACCTATACAATATTGCAATATAGGTGTAATAAACACATGTCTAACACAGAATTAATTTTTTTATATTATTATTTTTATTATTTTATTTTTTCAATTTCGTGAAAAACGTTAAATAATAAGTATTCAACAGCCTATATAGAAAATTTTAAAATAGATTGAAGCAGACACCTGTCGGCTGTCAACCTGTTTGCTATACGAATATGTGAGTAAATATATAATATTATACACTTACACTGACACGTCATATTATACATCTATAATACTACAACTACATATTGATATATTATAATAATATACTAGTATATATAAAAGCAATATGCGTTAATGGCCCTAAACTATGAACAATATACAATTTAACTATTGTAGTTAGTCAGTTAGTTTAAATACTGAAAGCCTGCAAAGACAAATGAAAAATAACTTTGTTAATTAATCATTATATGTGTATATTTAAAGACAATCTTACCTATAATAATTTGTTAGTCGTATTTAAAAAAACGCGAAATAGAAGGGAGATTAATTTTGATTAAAAAGAAGAAAAACCCTAAAATTTGATAAATTTTTTATTGTATCTAACCGTTGTTTTAAATTTTTTCTATAGTATTTTTAGAAAAGCATAAGTTTTATTTTAAAAGTTAAAATTATGATTTTCAGATCAATGTACAGCCCTGCAGAATACCTATAGGTAATATATACTGACAAGTGACAATTATTGAGAATACCTAATAAATATCGTTATTCATTAATTCAGTACGTAAATTTGTCTAAATTCAAACTTAAAATTTCTATAAAAAAATGATGTTTATATTTTTAAAATTTTTTGGTTTTAGTGAGTGAATTACTTATGAGGAATTTTGTACTAAATATTTAAAGTCTATTTTGAGATTGTGAGTTTCTAAAATAAGACTTTATTATTTTTAAAGTGAAAATTAATGTTTAGCGCTCGCGATTGTTGATGGAATAGTTAAAATGAATGAAGCTAATTTGTTATTCGTTATTCCGATAGGATTAAATTAAGTTTGTGAGCACAACAATGAATAAAATAACCTTTTTTGCATTTTGATCGAACCAGTGCTTGTAAACAATTATGTTGTTGTGATATGACGGCCACCCTATCATAAGTTTATTTTTGCATTCATACTTGTATAAATAATGAAATATATGTAAAGGTAAACAAGTAGTAGAATAATCAGAATTAACATCTACGGATTCCAAAAACCGTTGTTGTACACTTTCATAAGTCATGTACCGTAACGTCCGTAACATATAGGTAGGTATTAGATACAGTAGATACCTGAGATTAAGATATGTTTATAGTTTCGTCTATATACTACTAGATAAAAAGTTTGTATTTTTAATTTCAATTTTTATAATTTTCAGTATTATATTAAAAATTGACTGAATAATATCGTTTAGTACATCACTAGAAAAGCCAAGAAAACATGATGAAAGATTTCCACTTAATTTAGGATCAAGTGTATCTGTGTGCCCATAAAATTTATCAATTCTACATAATTTTCTCTATTAATTTGAAGTGAATAGTTCCTCTTGTCCACGAAACGAATCTCTTGACTCGCTAAATAACATGTGACATCAATAAATCGATATAAAACATATTCGCATTATGTTTTTTGATATTCTTAGTATACGCTTTACTGCAGATGTCTGAGACATTTCTATTCATGTCTCCACTGCATAGGCGCACATTGGGTGTGAATTTAGGGGGTGGTGGAATAATTTACAGTAAACAGATCCGTGGGGGGCTTTGCCCCCCCCTAATATCATAATAAACTGCATTCTAATAATTTTTAATTATTATAATTAATATTAAAATGTATTTATATTATATATATATATATATAATAATAATAATAATAATATCTAATCACTAATTAATTTTAAATAAGATTTAATTTTCTGTAAGATAATGCAAATTTTTATTATATGATTGCTGTTAATGTTCAACGTTTAGACGAAAACTGGAACAGTGGAACGTGCATTCATACAATACAATCAATACATTATTAATCGTGAATTCATAAGCTACATATTGTCTATTTATAATGGAAAAAAAATTCCAACCCAATGAATCACAATAATTTTCAAATGATTGATAAAATATGCCCCCCTATGTGCGCCTATGCTCCACTGTCTCAAAACTAAGGCGCACCATTTAACACCAAAAATCAGCTCTTTAATAAAGAAAGAATCATGACTATTTTTTTTATAGCACTTTTGTGTATTTACCTATATAATATGTAGGTAATTTAAAATATATATTTTGGCGCTAAATGTGTGTATAGTTTTAAATCGTTACTGGTTTATAATACTGGTTTAACCTACTATAATATGCTATTGTTGTAATGAAAAATATCTGAAAGCTAATTTTTAATTTTGTTAATTTAGCATTAATAATGGTATTCAAAAATATTGTGTCCCTGGTTGAAAACAAAGCTCAATCAGTACCTAATTTGGTATCCCACAAATTAATCAAAATGCATGGGAAAAAACATTGGTATTATTTTAAAAGGAAAGTTTCATGTTTTTACTCTTCATTTTAACTCAATTTATATAATTTCTACATGAATATCAAATATCAATCCAAAATTAAGGTTCTAATCATTATTCAGTAAGTAATTAATTATAATTGTTGTCTGAAAATAATTAAACTTAATAATATGCCTCACTTGACACTTCCATAGGTATGTAGTTAAAATTGTTATTCTTCCATCGTCATCATCAAAAGGTTAAACAGTTCTAACTTTACCTTTACTAATTTTCGCTGTTAAGAATTAAATATATCCTACAAAAAATGTTGTACGTGGCTACAAACTAAAATCAACCAGTCATTAGTCAATAATACATTAGATATCCTTAAAATACTTGCGTTTTCATATTTTTTTTCCGAGTATCCATGATAAACTTTAGTTATAACAGTGGTTACTGGTTATATACAACTAAGACGAAGTTCCTTTTCACTATACACATTTATTTGAATGTATATTTTTTGAATAGTCCCCTAAACATTTCACAATGGTTATATTAAGTAGCTATGGTTTTCTTATGTTTATCGTGTACTGTGTACATGAAAATAACTATTTTAGTATACCAAAATCTTACCATGAATGTTAATCAACCACAGCAAGATTTTTATGAACATACACGTGAAGTAGTTGTGAAAACCTGCCTTTAAGGTTTAAACAACGAAGAGATTAATAGTCACATAAACGTTAGGAATGTTTGATATTGGAGAAATTTGAGTCTCCTGTTTATTAAACTGTGAAGTAAACGTTTGTAAACGCAGTGGACGCCATGATTCAATGTTTAGTCTGTTTGGTTCTATCGCCAAAACTGTGGTTTAATTTGTTTATGATTTCACCACCAGTCAAAGAGAATCAATGGTATGTACATTGTACTATGTAGTATCCGTATTATTATTGTTCTGTGGTATTATTGTTTATCGTGGTATAGGTTTTATAAGAAAAAATGGTAAATGGTAAATGATAAATAGTAATGTGGTATATATATGCAGTCATAGTCCATATTCCATAGACTTTTGTATATGATCTAAGGATATAGCAATCAATTTGCATTACTTATTAAACAATGTTGTCAACAACTACGGTATAAATATAATATAAATTATATATATATATATATTATAGTACAATATTGTTATCTATATCTGTGATAATCTATAATATTAATATAATCATTTAAAAATACAGGTACAGAATTATAGATAAACTCAGAATACTATCTTTGAAAGTCAGAATCCAGTTGTGATAAATTGTCAAACTGATAACAGTGTAATTGAAATTGAACAAGAGTATTGAAAATATTTTTAAACTTACATGCAAACATTTATTGTACTTATTATAGCATTTGAAGGTAAATAATTTATTAATTTTAATCTATAATTTAATTTAGTTATCTACTAAATTTAAATACTACCTACAATAACAATATTTATAAAACTTGTATAAATAGTAAGAAAATGATTTGTTATGTTATTTAATATTTATGATTTATATTATTTATACTGTATTTGTATAAACATTTAAAGTCACTTGTGCATTATCCATTTGCTGATCTTGTTTTTTATATTATTACTAAAAAAAGAATTTATTAAATCCATAGGCTTTTGAAAATGGAAACAGACAATCAAAATATTCATAAAACTCAAGTATGCAACTATCTGGTAAGTTGATCATAAAAATTATTTGTTTTGTAATATTAATGTATATTATTTCTTTTAAAATACTTAACCCTTATTTAATGGATTATATGTGTGATTACTGATAAAAAGCAATTTGTTTAATATCTTATTTTTAAAATAAGATATCAATATTTTATTTAATGTATGATTGTGGTTTTTATTTAAGCCAGAGCGAATACATTCTGAAGGAAGACGAAAACTTATGTCTTGGTTGAATCAACAAATGAAAGTTAATTTAATAGATGGCCGTATTTTAGTAGGAACATTTGTCTGTACTGATAAGGATGCCCATATTATACTTAATACATGTTATGAATACTTCAATGAAAAAGGTAAATACTTATTAAGAAAACAAATTAAATCATTTATGATGTTTATATTTTTCATAAATTATATTTGTGTTTAGATTTAGAAACTGGAGAATCTCGGCTTTTAGGCTTAGTAATGATACCTGGACGACATATTATTTCAATTCATACAGATGTACAACAAACAAATGAGCAACCTATAAATTCATCAAATTTTGAAGAAATTTCATAATTTTAAATGATTTCAGTTATAATTTAATTGTTGTGCTTATTTTTTCATCATCGTTAATTTTTAATTTAAGTCCTACATTATTATTTTTCATCAAAATATTAACAGATTTTGAAGTATATCTGTAAGAAAATTACAAATGTAACAACTTTATGTAGTATTTATATTAATAATACATATTTTCATACTATTTTTAATAAACAATAAGTCAAAAAGTTCTTTTTATTATGATTACTGGTTTATAGAATCAGTTTTTTTTTTTTGGAATCATGAATTAAAAATCTAAACTAAATTATTTGTTTTTAATATTAAATTGACCTTTTATTAGAATCACTATTTATCAGATAATTGATTTATTTTCATAACTAAATTTTCAAAATTAGAAGTGATTTTTATTATAACATAATATAATTAAGTTATTTTAGATTTAAAATAAATTGCTACAAGTGTAGTCAAATAATGTTAGTTTTTTAAATTTTTCTGCTTTGTTGTAATTTTATATATATACATCTTCAATTACCTATTATATGTATATTGTTATTTGTCATTACTAAGTTTGTTTGGATAGTTAAAAATATATTATATTTTATGAAATTAATTAGTTACTAGAATCAAAAGAGGTACAGTGGAGATCTTCCCTACAACATAACTAAAATTATCAGTTCCAAATTTATATGATATTGTTTTAGGTAGATATGGGTAATATCTTAAACAAGTATGCGAGTATGCCTAACCTGGTACCTACTAATACTCCAAATTACTGTTAAAAACTCTGTTCAGTTAAAGATATAATTGCCCAAAATCTCAATGTAGAAAGACTTGTAAAAATATTTTTTTATGTATTGTTAACAATCAAATTATTACATAATATTTTACTATATGGAAGTAAAGTATTTATTTTGTTCCTTGAATAATAATATATTGCAGAAGAAAGACTTCTTATAGACATGGCTGATAAAATATATTATGGTATTTATTTTTATACCTTTTTTTCAAAAATAGTTTTTTAAACATCTAAGGCTACTTATTTATCTTATTATTAAATTTAAATTTGCATCACCTAAACTTTAGCCTCACTTTTTTTGTAGTTAAATTTTTAAGGTATAAATAAATAATACCTATCTACACAAGCATAAATTAAGATTAAGTTACTATAATTTAACTCATAAGTTAGGTGGCTTAAATTTTTAAACTATAAAACAAATTAATATAAAATATCAACAATATTTATGTCTTTATTATGTTTTATAGATTATTGATTTTGATAGGTTTAATTCCTTAACTTTTTTCTCTCTGTCGCCTTTCTTAGTAATAAAAATATTATAATAGTTTGTAAAATATTTACCAAGTTTGTCAATTGTTTCATTTGTATATCGGTAGTAGGTATATATTTTATTTTAACATTAACACCAAAAGATTAGACAGAAAAAAGTATTTATAATATTATATCTTTCAATTTTACTACGAGTATCATCATAATCTTAGATGTAATATAAATTTTAATTAGATAATCTACTATTTATTAGATTATTATATCTAAAGAGTTATTGTTTTTATATTTATAAAAGGACTATTGTAACTGTAAGCCTTTACCCAAATTTTTTAAAGTTTACCAATTCAATTATATTCATATTTTATCTATCATTATCCTTACTTTCACTATATATTAATATTAATACTTAATTTTAACAATAAAAAATCCAAATTCCCACTATCTACTAGAATATTACAGAATACTGAATAGATTAAATAATTAAATATGACAATTTTATTTTCGGCTGATAAAATAAGAGTTATAAGTGTTATAACTATTTCCATCGCTAATTTTCATGCTTACTTCATATATTTTTTAATTTGTCTACCGCCTTATTTTTAAACAACAATTTTAAACCGATTATCGGAAAATAACAAATGGCGGGAAAGATAATTAGAATTGCCATAAAATTTGATGCCAAATATTCAAATTTCAATGTAATTCCGCTGTAGTTCTATCGTTCTGCGGTTACATAAAAAAATATAATTTTTTTTTTTATCCATGAATGCGCAACACTTTATCTTATAGCCGTGATTCATTACTTCTGTTATCATATCTATTATCTAGTGATTAAACCTTAAACCATGCAAGAAACCACGATGTAATAATGATGAGATAAAAATTCGTAAATACTAAATCGTAATCTTTATTTTTCGTGAAATTTGCTGATGATTGATGAACACTACATGAGCGTCATATTTATAAATAGGTACACGAGTTAAATTCTAATTAAGTAATTATTTTTTGTATTTCATCAAAAAATTTTGAATCAATACTTTAAGACTTTATATAGTTTTTACATATAAATTGTTAAAGATAATATACCTTGTAAGTTATAAATGGGCTTATATTCACAAACTTTTATTCTATATATATATATATATGACATAGTAACTTGTAATGATTTTAAACGACTTTGATAATTGTATTTATTAGAATGAGCTCCAAAGAGGAATTTTTATCCAAAACTGAACGCACTAAGTGTTGGTTGTCTCGTGATAATTTTTGGGAATGTCTGCGTTCTAACAATGATAACACAGACAAATGTACTGATCTCAGACTAATCTATGAATCATCTTGTCCTGTTCAATGGGTAAATTTATGTTAAAATATATTAAAATTGATAGGTTACAGTTTTATTTAAAATTTCAATTATTGATTATCTTCCACTTAAGATTTACATTCAGTTTAAAGAATATTTATGTAATTTTAAAATATATGTATTTAGATAAATTCTATTCAGTTTAAGAAGGGCTAGTCCCAAAGATAAAAATGTCAAAATTTTACTTACTTGTTCCATTATTTTCTAAAAATAATTGGGGTAAGATCATTCTTGATTACAGCTTTTGGAGTGTTCAGCTATTAATAATTATAAACTCATTGAGTATTTATAAAACTAGCTATTCTAAAACTGAATAAAATATATTTTATATAAATTGAAAAAATCAATAATAAATATATATTATTAATAATAATTAATTTTTCAGGTAAAACATTTTGATAGAAAATATAACTACTTGAAGTTTAAAGAAAAAATGGAAAAAGATGGTTATGAACCTTTAAACGAAAAATGATGTACTTAATATAATATTATACTCAATATTGATGTTAGTTTAATTGGTAGGTAACATTAGCTATAATAGTTTATTTGAAATTAGTTTTTTTATATTTATTTTTATAATTGAACATTTTGATCTTTCATATGTTGAAAAGTTAAATATATAATAATAGCTTAAATGTTATGTATAAAAAATAAAAATAACAAAAATAAAAATTGTTTAGATCTACTTATTATCTAATTTGTATCATGAAAAAAATAACTGTTAAACTAATAAATATTTATTATAGTTGTCACCTATTTTATTATTTGTCTTTTAATTTATACACTAAATTATTTGGGTTCTAAATCAAATACTTATGTTTTTATTTTTACTATCTAAAATAATCTTATTTTTTCAGCTTTAATTATAATATCCTTTCAAATATGTTGTCATCTCAAGAATTATTAAACAAATTTAGTGTCGAAGTGTTAGAAAACAATTTTCAATATAATTATACTTCTATGACTGTAAGTATGTAGTATGTAATACTGTTAAGTAACAAGTATAGGCATTTCAAATTTTGTAATTATATAAAACTATAAGAACCATATTTTTACATGAAAATAGCTTTTATAGTAATGAAAAGATAGGGGACAGGGCCCTATGTAGATGTTGGACAAGAGTGATTATTGGCCATTACTATGTAGTTTGGAGTAAAGGCAAAAAAAAAGTATACAAAAATTAAATTGATTAAGGCTCTTTAAACTTTGAAGGCATAAAAAAAACTAAACGTAATAATATTCAAAAACAGCAAATTTAATTATACATATTCTTTATTACGTAAATCATATTTATAGCTGAATAAAAATAATTTTAAATTAGCAAAAAAAAAAAAACAACAAAAAATACCAATAAAAACTTTACTTAAATGACAAGTTTATATTTTAACAATTGTTTAAATACACAATAACTTAAAAATCTTTTCAATAGTTTTATAAATTTTATTTTTAACTATTTTGTGTAATATACAATAATAATAAAAAAAAATAAAATAAAATCAATCTGTGAAAGTATAAAAATATATTTTATAAATTTATTATGAATGTGTTTTAATCACTATTTAAATTAATTTTGTAATAAAAAATTGATTTATATATCTATTATTAATTATTATATTATCTAATTAATTACTTTTCAGGAGTTACATAATTTTCTTCAAAAAAGTATAGATGGTGATGTAAACTATTGTACAAAAAATCAACAATGTCAAGATATTTTAAAAAATATTCATTTTCGTTTAATGGATATTGTTGATTATAAAAAATATGCATTAGACTATCAAAGTGTTTTTCCTCAAATTTTATATCAAACATATCATTTAAGTCATCAAAATATAATAAAACAACAATCTAATAATAAAGAGAAGTATAAATGGACCTTACCTATGAAAAAGGATGAATCAAATAATTATGGTATTTACATCATAGACTTTGTATGTCTTGGAAAAAAATTTAAATTACCATCACAAAAATATGATCAATATTGTTTGCTTATTCATGTCGGTGCTGTTAAATGTTTTCAATATGAAAAACAATTTAATTGTTTAAATAATTCAATTGAAAATATTTGTGAATTGTGCTTTCGTCATTCTGAAATAAACTTAGAAGCTTTAAAATATTTAACAGAATGTATGACAGTTATAACAAAAGATCAGTGGAAAATATCATCAAAATGTATTTATAAGGTCCTTATGGGTCAAATGAATCATTATTTACCATCAATTCATGACCAATGTATTTTACTGTTAAAAAAATGTTTAGATCTTGAAGATTTAGATTATATACTAAATATAGTTATGATGGAAATATCTTGGTCTCTGAGAATTAAGTTTTATATGTTGACTGTCATTGTTTCAAAATATGGTGCTAAAAAGGTATGAACTATGGTATTTTTTTACTCATAAATTGTAATATACTTTTGGTTCATTACTTGCTATAATTTTAGATTTTAGAGAAATATAATATTTTGTCAATTTCAATGTGGAAATGTTTGGATGAACCATACTTGATGTCTCCTTGTATAGGTCTGTACAAAACATTTATCAAAGATTTAAATGAAGATGATTTTTGTGCTTTAATTATGCAGCCAATTATTGAAAATCTGATTTCTAGTAACAGTATTTCTGAGTAAGTATTATAATTAATGACATTACCCTATGTAGATATTAAAGTCTCAAAGTAATATTGTGAGTTCCAAATTTGGATGTTTTTTTAACAAAAATTAAACTGGAAATGCCTTTAAAAATATTGTACTTATAATTTTATGGGAATTGAAGATTCTGTAAGAACTCGAGAAAATTAAAATTACATTTTTTAATCTATCAAGTTATTAAAATTATAGTTTTTTAAATTATTTTATTATAAAATAATTTACAAATTTTCATGGTTTTTTGATATTTTGATATTGTTATAATTTTATTACAACTTATCAGGAATATTAATACTAATTATTATTCCTCGTTAATAATGTTTTATAAAAATTTATAAAGAAAAGAACTAAATTAAATTTCAAGTTTTTAATGTCTATCAAATATAAAAACTTTAAAATTAGTATAAATATTTAAAAAATGTCATTAATTATAAATAATAATAATTTGAATAATAGCATTACATATTTTAGTTTTTATATGTTGCTTATTTTTTTTAATAGTAATAAAATATTAAAAGTGACTGTTTATGATATTTATCTGATGTCAAAATGTGAGTTTTAATACAAAATTTATGTGGCTTTAAATTAAACTTTTTTTTTTTTTTTAATTTTTAATAATTTAAAATTTTTTGAATTTTCAATTATAAATTAATTTATGTATTTCTACAATTTTAACATATTATTTGTAAAAAATTGAACTTAATGTTTATAAACAATGTAGATTTTATGCCCTTTTAACTATTATTTAATTTTTTTTAATTGTTCATAAGTATATTGTTTTGAATTAAATTAGATATTAATTTATTTAATTTTTCAGGTTAACTAGGTATAATTTTGTGACTTATTTAATACCTCTAATGAAATCTAAACATATTGGTAGTTTATTGATGTTATATGAAAAAATGAACAGACAATCAAAACCAGATTTATATCTTCAAATATCTGTATTAAAAATGATTTATAACACTGAAGTAGAAAATTTTCATGAAATACTTGACTCGTCTTTGAATTCTGGTGATACTAAAATAAGATCTGTAGCATTCACCATTTTGTGTTCTTTAAAGTTATCAACTGATGTATTGAACTTAATTTACAATTTTATTGTTGATAATATAAACAGCGACTGTTCAACTTTAAGAACAAAGCTTATTTTTGGATTAGAAAATATGTTACGTAAATGTAAGAAACTAAGTTCAATTCTAACCACATTTTTGGATAGATTGCATGAATTTGTTTCATCAAATTTGTTGCCTGGTTCAAATTACCAAAGAAAAATTACATCATTAAAAATATATTTGGTCATATTAAAGTTTACAAACAATGATTATGTTTCATATTCATGTAGACATTTACTTTTTACAAATTTATTAGACTCTGAAGATGTTAGAAAAACATGTAGTGAAATACTAGTATCATATTTTAATGTTGTGAAAGAAGACAAAATATACTTAAATAATTGGATGAAACTTGGTTTAAATTTATGTTATGATCCTTTATTTTATAAAAATGAAAGTGGTTCAACTATAATATATACAATAACATCATTGGCTTATAAATCAGGACTTCAAATTGATATATTCAACTTAAGCCATTCATCTGTGTCTGCATATATATTAGATTTAGCAAAAAAACAAGAGAAACGACTAAAGGATAATTTTGTGAGTAATGTGACACATGGTACACTTTATGGTCTATTAGATGTACTTAACAATTTATCATTCGAAGAAAATTCACCAGAAAAAAATAAGTTAAATGAAACTCAAATCGAGGTCATGTTAAATTTGATTGAAGATAATTTAAATCTAATGCTGGACACGTTATCTTCTAGGATGGATGCAGAAGGTATTTTTTTTATTTAAAAAATCATAATATTGTTATTTTTATTATATTCAATTTACTTAGGTAAAACTGAGGCACCATCTTTTGCTCAGATGGATGATGCATTAAGTAGTTTACGTATATCAAATCAAGACAATGTTCAAATACCAACAAACCAATTTCTATTAAATTTCATTTGGATAAATATTAAAGTAAAATTTGTTATATATATATACAATAGCATTTTTTATTCATCAAATATTAATTAATTTTTACAGGTTTGTTGTGATGTTGCAAGCAAGTATGCAATTATGTTAGCAATTAGTGATATTTCAAATAAACAATATAAAAATACTCAAATAAAAAGATGTGCAGATATGATAGCAGATGTGTTAATTAGGTGTAGACATAAAGGTGCCATGGAAGCTACTTGCAAATCACTTGGAATAATAATAAAGCATTGGAAAGAATCTCTAAATTGGTGTCAGAATATGTTAACTGACCATATTAATTGTATGAAACCAGAAGATGAGATATCAAGAAGGTCAGCTGGAGTAAGATATCTTATTCATGCGATTGTGACAAATAATAAAGTGAGTTTATTTTGTAGTCATTAAATTGTAGACATTGATTACTAAGTGTTGTAATATGAGTATTGAGTATAAAAAGAATTCTTAATTGTTTTAAATATTTTGCTTTCAATATATACTACTTATGAGTAACCTCACGAATTGTGTTATATTTATATACTTTTTAACCACATTTTTTAATTACATTTATAGAAAAATAATCAAAATGTATTAAAAAATTGTTAATGTCTTAAATAGCAAAACAATTTATCATGTATATATAACATGTTAATATAAACATTTTGCGAACACTTCAAATATCTACAATTATTGATTTTTAAATTAGGTACACCCCCACCCATACACACTCACACACACAAACGAGTCAATTATGTTAAAACTGGTCTTTTCTACCAAAATTACACACAAATAGTTTATTTAAATAATTAAAGTAAACTTTATTATTTATTAATTTATGAAAAACATGTTTTATAAAATATTTGTAAAAATGTATTTAAAAAAAAGGTTGTTTAACAAAAAATGTATTATTAATTTAAATTATAAATAAATAACTTACATAAGATTATTTATTTTAAATGTAATAATTGTTTGTCTAAATTAAAAATAACAACATCATTTAAATTTTAATCCTAGCCGCTTAGAAATTTTTAGACTTAAAAATCAATTTTATAATTATAATTAATATTATATCTATTAATAATTTACATACATATATTTTTAAAATTTTAGATCACTGTTAAGGATTGTATTAAACAATTATACAATATAGCAAAAGAAAATGTGTGTACTGATATTGATACAATTGTTGATTTACCACAAGCTAGAGCTCAACATCTATTAACTGCAATTGTTGCAAATGCATCAATTTCTACAGGTAGTTTATACTGTTTCATGGAGGATATGATCATGCTTTGTATTGATAAATTAAATTCTCCATTTTGGACAATCAGGTAAATTTAAAGTTATTAAGTAAATAAAGAGGACTTTATATTTGCATGTTAAAGGCATTTTAAGATTATAATTTGTTTTGTTTATTTCAAAATGCTTATGTTACGTTTAAAAACTAAAATATAAAAAAAAAAAAATTTCAAAGTGCTTTAGATGATATTTTTAACTTTTAATTTAACAGCAGATCAATTCATTTTAGTATTAAAAATAACAATGTAAAATATTTTCTTTTGAACGTTAAATTTGTCATGTTATGTTTAAAACGCTGAAACATGTATATATACATCTTCTAAAGTGTTTGATAAAATTATTGCTTTTTGGTATTTGTCTGCAATTATTGATTATTGGTATAATTGTTTTAAGAAATGCTGCTCTTCAGTTCTTCAGTTCACTCCAAGTGAGATTGATTGGTCAAAATCGTTTAAACAATGATTGTTGGCTATCTCATTTACCACTAGAACCATTACTATATCATTTTCCACGATTAATGCAACGTTTACAACATTTATGGTCACAAACAAATTGTAAACTTTCAAGCCAGGCTCGTTTAATCCCTTTTATGTCTCTACTGAAGAGTTTAAAATTACAGTCATGGAGTTTGTTGTCATCAGATCATCAACAGTTTTTAAAAAGTCTTCGTTTTAATTTGTGGTCTACTGGTTTTGCTCTTGAAATATATACTATAAGAAATATGGCAGCTCAAGCTTATGCCAACACAATACAAGTTAATGAAATATCATCAACTCTGAATCAAATTAGTAATGAAATATTAAAATATGACGGAGTAATTAATTTTTCAGAATTTAAAGGTTTCAATCATTTACATGGATTAATGTCAGTGTATAAATATTTAAAAGATGTTTATTTTATGGAATTCAATCAAGAGTATCAAGTTTTTAAAATTGAACATAAAAATTTACCACCATTATGTAAATCAATGTACATTTCATTAAACTGCAAAGTATTAGATCCACTTCCTTTAAATTCATCAATTGACCATATTCTTGTTAAACAATTAATGATAAAAAATAACATATCACAATCATTAGACTTGTCAGGCTTAATAGAATTTTATATGAAAGCTGACAAACATACAACAATATGTTTTTTGAAATGTCTTAAAGATTTTAATAAAAACCCAAAAGATGTATTACTTTTAATTAATAAATTTGTTAATTTTCTTGATGTTGATGACAAAGACATACTAAAAGAAATTATTATGAATATTGATGTACTTTTAAACATGCATCTTGAAAATATTAAAATTGAAGTAGAACTAGAAGCTGATTATTTTTCTGCAATATTACAGAAATGTGCATTATGCTCAGAAAAAGATTTTATTGCCATGCTACCAGTTCTCAGCTGGTTATGTCCCAGTAAAGTTTATTTAACTTTATTACCAATTGTGTGTAAACACATTGATTGTGATTTGTATGATTCTAATGATAGATGTAGTTCTTCAAGATCTCTATATTATTTCAAAAATCTAAAGGATGATGTCAGAGTATGGAATGCAGTTGTTGAGTTATTGCAAGATGAAGATATTGATGTACGGATTGAGGTGACAAGGTTTGTGAATTACATTTGTTATAATTGTTCTTCCATACTAAATCCTTACATGTGTTTAAGGAAAATGTTTGAGATAGAAATAGTATCTTCTATAATAAATCCAAAGTTTGCATTTAACTGTTTTTGGAACCAGTTATCTGAGATTAAACTACGTACTGAATTTGATGAAACTATAAATCCATTTTTTAATGATCAGTCGAATGTGTACCAAGAACAATCAAATATCATGAAATTGGCTTTTGAAGGCCTCAAATCTTTGATTAAAGCAAATGATAATCTCGATTATTATAAAGAAGTAGTTGAAAAGTGTCTTAATACTATAAAAAGTGAATGTGAATTTAAACACACATTTATGGATGAAGATTTGATGATTTTAGATACATATTCAAGTATACATTACCAGAAATTATATTACAAAAGAGAAATTTTAGTTTTATTGAATTTTAATGATTATTTGAATATGTTTTTTCCAATACTGGATTTTATATATTTACCAATTAAATTCTAATGTTCACAATAATTTTAATTTAAGTATTTAGTTGGTTTTAAGTATAAGTTTGAAAATGTTTTGTACAAATTATTAATTAATAATATTGCAATTGTCAACTATTAAAATGTATTGATAAATACATTATAATAAATATTATGTTATAATTCTATTCTATCAATCTTTCATGCATAATATTAAGCCTGAAAGTAAAATGCTAAAGCCTGTCCTGTAAAAAAAACATATTTATGTATTTAATTTAAAAAGTGGTGAGTTTTTTTTTGATCCTGTCTTTATCTTGAATTAAACAATAATTAGATAATATTATATCATAAACCAGCAATCTTATGTGAAGATTTATTAATAAAAAAAAAAAAAAAATATCATTGTCTAACATAATATTTGCAAAATAATTATAAAAAATGAATGTAAGTTAATTATTCTGTACACTAATATCACATATTATTTTTTGTTAAAAATTAAGAAATAAACAAAATACAGCCAATAGATAATATATTTTAGATATAAATTACTTATCTACTTAATAATTGATAGATGATATATGTTTATTAAAGATAATAAAAATAAAAAACAAATATGTTAAGACAAGTATAATATATTCAATTTAACAGAAAAAAAATAATAATAATTTACTAAGTAATACAGAATATGAACGGAGAAGTCTTATTTATTTATAGATACCACAATTTTTAATGTACAATGTATATATTATACAAGTAGTACTAACTGTACTTTAAAGGTAACAGTATAAGTTAAATATAAATATATAAATAATAAATAAGTATAATTAATTTTTTTTAATTGTAATATTAAACATTTTAATTAAAAGTAAAAAAAAATATGACAACAATTTAAATAGATTAACAAATTGTGTTTTGTATATTTTTACTGTAGAATAAATATAATATAGATAGATACTGCTGTCTGTATGTTATATAATAAATCAAATTTTCTATTATGGTTATCAATGATAACATTTGGTAAATTATGCTTTGTTTATCTACAGTAATTAAAATTATGCTCGTAAAAAGTGAATAAAAAATAAAAGATTAATGATGTGCATTTAATCTGAAAAATTCAAACACTTGACTAGACTGTAAATTTTTATTTTCGTTTGAATACTAGTGGCACTTACATTTTAATTGATAATATTAACACAAAATATTTAAGTTTAACTTTTTAGTTCTAGAAAATTGATTAATAAATGTTATCCAATTAAATTTTACTTGACATTATTTAAGGTAATTATATTAATTATTTATTAAAAGAATTTATTTAAAAAAATTGAAATACCTTTAATAAAATATTATACCAAATCAAATTTCTAGTAGTTAGAAAAAATAAATGTATTCTCATTTATTTTTTCATTAAAACATTTATAAATAAAATAATAGTAATAAATATAATACAAAGATCAACATAACAAAAAAAAAATATTGAAAAACTATAATTATTATGGTTTTCTTTCATTGTTCAGTGCCAACTGAAATGGTAAATAATAATTATACATAAAGATTTTATAAATTATTCTGTCGATAAGTATTTATCAGAACAGAGTTATTCAATAGTACAATTTTTAATTTACAACTCTTTCTTGTTAAAAAAAAAAAAAATAATAATACATAGATTTGATAAAACTAATTAAGAATATAACAATAACTATTTATTTGTATAATACATTATATGTATGTAATGTGACATGTATATTTTTTTTGTTTATATATATATAATTTGTATGTTTTTGATATTGTATGTATTATACAAGCTTGAGAATATAAACAGTGCTAAAAGTTTAAAGGAAAAAGCAATGCGAGAACAAATTTTCAGTAACAAAGATTAATAAAATATCACAATGCTGGAAGATTACTAAAAAAATTAATTATTCGAGAAAGATGAGATAATATGTATAAATATATATATATATATATATATAAACGTGAATTGTTTTTTTACCGTTAAAATTAATTGGAGTTGAATAAAACTTACAATTTAAACATCAACAACCATCTTTTTGTGTATATCTGTATTGCCAACAACTGAACAAAACTCTTCAAAATTTATCTTGCCATCTTCATCTTTATCCGCAAACAAAATTGTTTTGTCAACAATTTGCTGAAGTTGAGTATCTTTCAAATTATTCCCAACCATCATTTTCAAAACCTTAAAATAAAATGTATACATAATATAAATAGGCAAGTATTAAGAGACTAAAAACTTTTAATTGCCTGATACGTACTTGAAATAATTCACCATTTGATATATATCCATCGTTATCCATATCATAGATTCGAAACGCAAACCGCAACTTTGATTCTTTGTCTCCCTTAACACTAAATTGAGACACCCCTTGAATAAATTCTATGGGGAAAAAAAAAAAATTAACCAGAATCCATGTAGATGTAGACATAACCATTACCTTTAAAGTCTACTTCACCATTGCCATCCTCATCAAATATGTCTATAACTCTTTGAACGAGGGGGTTTTGTTGAAGCTCAGGCAGTGATAGAAACTCATCCAGACTCAAAGCACCGGAGTTGTCCAGATCGAGTTTGCGGAACCGTTTGCCCAAACGTCTGATCTCATCAGCATCGACTAATAACATTAAAAATACAACACATTTTAGTCTCTAACATAATGGCGTGTGCATGTAAATGGTTGTGGGTACTTACAGTTTGAGCACAGCTCCATTGGCAGTGAGTTTTCGTTACCCTGGAAAATATTACAAGGCACAAATTTAGTTTATCATCTGGCAGCCAAGCACAACCGTTACATACCATGTTCGATAGTAAAACACTGCAGAGATATTAGGTTCTAGTAGAGCTGTAGTGGACTGCAGTAGCGTGTGTGTACGGCTGATCGTCGAAATACGAAACGATCACGGACTTGCGTGTGATTTGGTCCGTTTCGATCGGGTATAATTGTATAAACTATAAATGTCTTGATCGTAGTAGGTGAATATTTGTGTGTGTGTGTGTAAGGGAGCGCACGCGCGTAATACGGTAATATTAAATAGTATAAATGTACGTGTGTGTGTGTATGTGAGCGCGTGAAGAGGGGGAGAGAGCTTTTATTTTTCGTCGCACCGCTCTGGGTCGCGGGAGCCTAGGACCACCGACCTCGTCCTACCTTTGTAATAACGATAATACGATATATATACACGCAGAGATTGCATCAAGTAACAAAAATATCGATTTTGATAACATGTGAAAACCTGAAAACAGCTGAAACAACGTCGCGCCCGCTCGCTAACTTACCTCAGCGAACGGCGATCCGGCCGGCGACGATGATAACACATCAATAAGTATATCAAGCTCCTCCCACCAATCATTTTCTCTCTCGGACGCGTGTCTTGCACCGCCATCTATCGTTGGCCGTTGGCCACGTCCTCGTCTCTAAACATAGTGAATCAACTCCACGTTTCTACCCACTACAACTACTCCCCACCACTACTTCAACACCACTGAACCCACGGTAACTGCCGACCGAAATACGTTCCTTTTTTCTTTCTTTCTTTTATCACCGAACGGCCGCCTGTGAACGTAACGCTCACGTCATATATTTATACGGAGAGACACGTACAATCGCAAGCAGGAAAATGGCGTCAGGCGTAAGTGCACGTTCCGTATCCGGGCTTATCCCGGCCATCCCGTTGACTTCGTAGTCATCCTGTTGTTTTTCAGACCCTGTACACGTATTTGAACAACTTCCGAGCGTACAAAGTGCTCATAGCAGCCCAGTACAGCGGAGCTGATGTCAAAGTAGACCCGGCATTCGAATTCGGCGTCACCAACAAGCAGGAGGATTTCCTCAAGAAGTTCCCCCTAGGAAAGGTGACAAACAAATAAAATACACACCGTATGACGGCAATCGGTATTTTCCCATTTCACTCCTCTCAACCTTTTGGAATTTGATAAGTCCGACCGTCGTCGTCGGTGCGATCTATGTACTAACCGAAATTATAATATGTTTCTTGTTTTTTCAGGTACCAGCATTTGAGTCCAACAAGAAGGAATACTTAACTGAAAGCAATGCCATTGCCTATTTTGGTTAGTAAGTGACTGTGTCACTAATAACTAAATTCCTTTAAAAAAAAAAAAAACATTTGAATTGTAGCAAGTAGTGATAACATGTTTAATTAAAAAAAAATAAACATTTAATGTCTATACTTAATAGCTTAAGTATAAATCTTGACAACAAACAATTTTACATTCATATTATTTCTGATATCTACTTTGTTGTTCTAATTTTTAGTTGTCAAATCTTTTTAATATATTTCTATTACAACAACAGTTTAATCTATTGTTTGTGTGTTAATAATTCTAAGTGGAATATCTTATTAAATGCCCACTCAAAATAACATTAGTATTAGTATGTTACCATTGTGCTTGCATTTCTATGTATTTACTTTAATTAATGATCATATTTAATTATTAATATTGCACTAAATGAATTTGTTTATAATTTAGTATCCAGTGAGCAACTCAAAGGATCTACTCCGTATGAAAAAGCTCTAGTACAACAATTCATCAGTTATGCTGATAATGAAATTTTGCCAGCTTCTTATGCTTGGGTTTACCCCTCTCTTAGTATTGCCCAATTTAATAAATTGGTAATAATAAGTTATTTAATATATTGTCTAATTTTACTTACTAAAATATAATTATAATTTATTTTTAGACCGTTGATCGAGCTATTGAAGATGTCAAAGGAATTTTGGAGTACTTGAATAATTATCTTTTGACAAAAACCTACTTGGTTGGCGAACGTATTACATTGGCTGATATAGCTGTAGCTTGTTCATTATTACAATTGTATCAGCATGTTATAAATTCAGAATTCAAGTAAAGAAATGTTTATTTTTAATTATTTACATCCTCAATCAAAGGCGAATTTTTCAGTTTAAATTTGTTTAATTCGTAACAAAACGAGGTACATTAATGTATTGCGAAGTATTGATTTGATAATTTGTAATCATTTATCAGACGGGCCTATGTAATCAACATTTAGCTTTTAAATTTATGCAACTATACTTGTCAATATTTCTAAAATATTCATTATAGTTTGATTAACCATTTTAGTTTTTTTTATTTATTAACTTCTATGTTTTTAGACAGCCATACACCAATGTAAACAGATGGTTTGATACTATTATTAACCAACCTAAAGTAGTTAAAGTCATTGGGAAATTTGAGTACTGTAAAAAGACTGCTGAATTCAACCAAAAGACTTACTTAGATTTCCAAGGCGGATCAGGAGAAAAGAAGTCTCAGGCTAAAAAAGAAAAAGCACCTAAAAAAGCAGCTGAACCTAAAAAAGCAGCACCCAAAGAAGTGGTCCAAGAAGAACCTGATGCGGCTGACCTTATTTTAGCTGCTGAGCCCAAATCCAGCAATCCTTTTGACGCTTTACCTAAAGGGTAAATATATAAGTATATACTTATTTGCTTGATGTTAATGTGGTATATTTTAAATAGAGCATTCAATATGGATGAATTCAAACGAGTTTATAGTAATGAAGAAGAATCCAAGTCTATTGCCTACTTCTGGGATCACTTTGATAAGGAAAATTATTCCATTTGGTATGGTGAATATAAATACAATAGTGAACTACAGAAAGTATTCATGAGTTGTAATCTGATTTCTGGTAAGTTTGTATATTGTTATATTAATAGTTCACCACACCCACCTGTGTTGTCCCTGTTTATGAACATATAATATGAATAACTTTTGTTAAGTTACATCAATATCAAGAGTAAAATGCCCTATTATCAAACTTAAAAGTAAGAGCATTATCTGTATTATTGTTGGTTTGTACAATATTTTAATTTTAAGTGATGAATTATGATAGATTTTAATGAATATTCTACATACTTATAAATAAAAATAATCATCAACAGAGTATTGATCATATTCTTACCTTTTAGGTTGATAGTAGGTTATTTTGCTCTTGTAATTAAGTTAAATACACAAAATAAGTTCTACATGATAGTGACAACACATATTTGTATAGCTACTCTGGCCCATGAGAGAAGAGTTAACTATTTTGTATATGCAGACTAACATCTGTGAATATTTAATGGCATAATTTCCTTAGCTCTAATCCGGATGTTAATGGTAAATAGTATGTCATTGGCAAATGTAATATTGCGTTCATATATTTTGAATTTGTTATCTTCTTTCATAAGCCAAAGTATACAATTATTAAATTGTTTTACAGTTAAAAATTTAAAATTATTCTTAATCAGATTTTTTGTATTAAAAAATTAGTTATCTAATAGTTTACTAAAAATTGAAGTTCAAAGTAAATTATCCACTGAGAATCTGTGTTCAAAATCAAATTAATTTTAATCATAAAATAATATACAAATAATTTGTTATGTGTAAAAAATTTTAACAATGTAATATCAGTGATTTTGTCATCAACATTTATATTTATTAATGTATCTAAACCAAAGTAGATTTTATGTGTTTTTAAGTAATTACTAATCTAAAGTGTTATATAAAATATAATCAAATTAAATTAAATTTTTTGGTTTTTTAATTTTTTTTATCAATTGAAAATAAAATTTGACTAGTTTGGTTCAGAAACTTTTACTAATGATTATTTTAATTTAATATTTAAATGTAACAAGCAAATAATTTAAATTTTAGTGCAATTGTATTATATTTTTTTATTATAAAATGTTTCATTTAGATAAATTATTTTTCTAGGAATGTTCCAAAGATTGGATAAGATGAGAAAGCAAGCTTTTGCATCTGTATGTCTCTTTGGTTCAGAAGGAGATAGTACCATTTCTGGTGTTTGGGTTTGGAGAGGACATGATCTTGCATTTGAAGTAGATATAATTTTTGGTTTTTTTGTAACTTATTTTATAAAATAATTATTATTGTCTTTTAGTTGAGCAATGATTGGAAAGTTGATTATGATGTCTATACATGGAAGAAACTTGATGCCGACAGTGAAGAAACAAAGAAGTTGGTTAATGAGTACTTTGCATGGACAGCCAAAGATAAGGATGCTAGACCTTTCAATCAAGGAAAAATATTCAAATAAATACTCGTGAATTTATACATTATCATATTTAATAATATAAAAAACAAGAATTGTTCATTTCATATTTTTCTAAGTTTTATTTGAATTCTTTCTAATCCTTTCCTGAAAACATTAAAATAATTGTTATATTTAACGTTTTACAAGTTATCATGAGATTATCTATTAAAATTTATAATTAGGGCCTGGATTATTTGCATGTTTTTTTCTGAATAGTCCAAAAAATAACTAAATAAGCTACTACAAGTTTGATTGTAGTTAATAGATCTTAAATAGTTTTATTTTGCATATTTTGTCATTTTTTGATATGTGCTGCATATTTCTGTATTTTATGGTTTTTAAAAGCATAATAATATGTAATATTTTGTTTATTTTGATTAAAATATTCATAGTTATATAATTTGACAGTTGTTTTCTTATCTTATCTGAGATCTATTGGGACAAGTATTAATTTGTTATTGAGTAGATTTTTGTGAATCATACATTTGTTGTGAACAGTGTGAATAACTTTCATTTGATTTTATTTATTTATACTTGATGAAAATAAAAGACTTAAATTTGATATTATTTTACATAATAGAATGATAATTAGTGCATAAATGTATGCATATTTAGTAGTTTTTAGTGCATTTAATTCTGGGCCCTATTTATAATAATCTTTTAGACCTTGTGCTAAAGAATAAATGCATTCATATGAAATCTTTTTTATTACGATTTTTGTGTAATACTAAAAATAAAATTTAATTTGTTATTTGACTTTAAAAACAAAAAACTTGATTTGAATGGATATTAATTTTTATTAGATAAATTGATTATCTACCCTTAATATTATATCCATTAGTTTTTAAATGGGTGATCTTTTTTAAGATTATTCTAGCAAATAAAAAAATGATTTGAATGAATGCACTTTGCTGTATGAAGTAGGAAAGAAATCTAATTACTCAATAGTTACCTAAGGGTATAATCTGAGCCGATGCCTCTTTTCCATTCAACTTTTTCTATGTGTGTTATAAGTTTGGGTAGAAAACAAGTAACAAAATCTGGTGAAATAGTTATCAAATGGTCAAAAAATTCAAAGATAAGTTTTGAAGAAAACGCTAAATGTTCTTCACAAAGTGTATCCAGTGATGACATGACTTCATTTCTAACAAATTGATAATTAGACACCATAAGTAACAAAAATGAACAAGAAATAGTGCATACTTGATTTTTTCATTGTTTGATGATACACTTATATTAATAAATGTATTAATTATTTCATTGGTGATTCTTTTACAAATATTAGTTTCTTCACAGAATATTGATACTGAACAAATGCGCATTAATGAATGTTGAATAATTGATAAAATCACTAATTCATTATTACGACTAATTTTTATGACGTTATTTATATATTCTAAAACCTGAAAGTAAAAAAATATTAAAAAATATAGTTAAGACTTGTGGTATCTGCATATACTTGAGCAACACTACTGTCTGGTGTCCGTTGACGTTTACTTAAAAATGTTGATACAAGTAATTCTAAAAACAATGCACGTTCAGGAATTTCATTATCTGGTTTTTCTTCAAAGAATTTTAATAACGGCAACTCATCTGATGATTTGATTCCAACCAACATTTTTGGGAAATATAATGAAATTAACTCACGAAGACAACGGGCGATATACATATCTGTTTTTGGATCTACAAATAAATTAATGCAATAAATCATTAACAATTCTTAAAATACATAATTAAGCATTGATGCCTCAAAAACAAATTAGTTATAATAAATATACTAACTCAGGTGAAACAATCCTATAAAGTAGCGATGTAAACAAGATAGTAGGGCAGTTATAATACTTGGATGTGTTTTGGAATTGGGACTTCTCAAGCTTACACCTAGAAACATGGAATCTAATAGTTCTTGTAAAATAGTATTTGGTTTACCCTAAAAATAATAAGTTTTTTTTTAATAACGCAAATGAAAATTGTGAAACTGTTCTCACTTTAACATAAATTAATGGTGAAATTTTTTCAAACATGTAGCCAATAACCATGTATAACCTATATATCTCATCATTTTGTTTTTGTTGTTTTATTAAAATATTCACCCAAATTTTGATACTGTAAAAATAATCTGACACTTTTTCACTCATCTTCTGGCGTAATTTTATATCCTTGAAATTAAGAAATAATAAATTATATATTTCTATTTACAATTTTTATAAATATACTACATATTTGTTAATAAAATAACAGAAGCAATATTTAAATGTTAAACATAGTTTCAATAATAAATTTAAAAAATTAATTTGGGGATTTAACTAACAATAGTATATGAACAACAATTTTTATTTATATTTTTCCATGATAAAATAAAATTATTTTTTTAATTTACTTGATTATGATGATACTTTATGTTTAATGAATCTAAAAATGTGATAAAAGGATCCACACTTGTTTCTAAATCATTTCCAGAATTTGTTAATAGTTCTTTAATTTCGCTAATATTTGAAACAAATTGAGTAATGATCATTGTTTCATTGATTGTCCAGTTTGTGATCAGCATAGAACTATGTAACCATGCCTAAACAACATAAATACAAATCATATTAAAAAAAAAAATGCAAAAAACTTTTGTGACAGATAATATAGTATGAGTAATAACTACAAAAACACAAGTTAAAACGAATGCAAGCAATTTATACTAACTTTAATTAGAGCTAAACTGTTGAATCCATGAACATTAGCGATGACATTTTCTTTAATGATGGATGATAAATATCGATTAAGCAATCTGAAAATTTAGGGGAAAAAAATGTATATTGAAATAAAAATATAAAAAAGTATTTTTAAAAGCATTTACTTTATATTAATTCCTTGATTTACAACAAAAAAATTGAATAACATCACTTTTGTATCAGAAAATGCTGGCATAGATGAAATAATTGTAAATGTAACAGCAATATCAGCTACGATTGTATCACATTCAGCTGATAAACTTGACTTCTTTATGAACGGCAATAAGTAAGTATACAATGAGTTATAGAGTATAAATATTTCATTTTCTATAAAAAACAGTAAAAAATTGAAGATACTATTTTTGAAACTTAACATAAATTAAGTCATTGGTTTTTAGAATGATTTTTTTTTTTAATGTAATATTTACAATTAACACATAATTTATTTAAATTTGAAATAATTATTATCTTTTAAGTTATGGCTAAAAATTTCCAAGTTTTAATCATATTTAATTTGATTTAAATAATGGTAAAGTATTCAGTTTTAAATTATGAAATACAACATAAAACATATTGCCATTTAAAAATTAAAAGATATGTTGGATTTACAAATAAAAAAAAAATAAAGGCAGTATAAATTGTAGATGATACTGTTTAACATTATATTTCTATAAGTATTATTTTAAAAGTTTGAGCATTAAAAATTATTTATTATAGACTAGTATCATTGATAGTATACTATAAAATTATTTATTTACAAACTAAAAATTTAAAAATAATCAAAAAAAATGTGTTTTTATATATTTCTAACTAAAATATTTTGTATTACTTTTATATCATTAAAAAGAAATACACTTTTTTTATGATATATTATATACATATCTTATAAAATGTATTTAATAAAAAAAAAACAGATATTATATATTACTAGATAATAGTTTTATTTTAAATAATTATGATTATAATATTACCACGTGAGAAAGGCATGGTTTGATCACTTCCTGCTTTTTTTAGCTTCTCCAATATGAGTAAAACGGTTTGCAAAATGTTATTGCTATCCAATGGTTTTATTGTACTAAGATAATTTTCAAACCAAGAACCTTCAAAAATAATGTTAAATTAAGTGACATCAAAAGTCAATATGGTTAAATAATTACATTTTAAATTTACCAATAAGAGTATGTTGTCCATATGTTAAAGATTCACTGAATAAAAATAAGTCTTTAAGACCATCTAAATAAACAGTGATGTATTCTTGAGATGTGGTATTTAATGTATCTGAGAGTGCAGTTCCATATGCAGTCATTAAAATGTTTCGCTGTGAATGCAATATTAAAAATGCTACAGTGCCTTTCCAATATGTTAATCTAGTATTAGGGTCCAATTTTTGTTCAGAAATTAATTTTATAAGATGTTGATATTTAAGTGCCTAAAATATAAAAAAAATTAAAATTAAAAATATAATTTAATATATTTAAGATATTTATTTTCTTACTATTTGTGTTGTATCATCTGACATGATTGATAATGTCAAGAACAATGTTGTAAAATTATAAAATCCGACATCATTAAATGACATAAGTTTACTTGGTGAAAATTTTGAAAATATTCTACCTTTTATTTGATTCCAGTCTTTTGAGTTATATTTAATGTTTTGTAAGTGACGACCTGATTTTTTTTATTAATATTATTTAATCAAGAAATAATTTTAGTTTTTTTTTATAAATAAAGTTGATTTAAAACCATTAATTAGTTTTAAAAATACACATAACTTAATCTTAATGAGCTATTTATAAATTAAAAAAAAAGTTAGTTTTTACATTTTAAATCAATATTTGAGGAATAGCTTAATGAGGGCAAAATGAAAAAGTGAGAATCACAGAATAAAGGATGGACTACAAGTTAGCTGAAATATTTAAAGTATAGTTAAAGCAAGAAATCTTTTGCATTGGGAGAAAATAAATGGACAGTAGAAATAATGTTTAGAATGTTGCAGATAACTAAAGAATTAAGATGAGTAGTTAGAAAATTTTAGAGTAATAATATATTAATATTAATTTTCATTATAAAACATAGGTAATTAATTAAGTTCTATAAATTATAATATATTTATAAGACAATGCAAAAAAATAGAACTTATAAAACATTTTCACAATATCAATGCATACATATTTCTTTTGGAACGAATAAAGTGAATTAAATCTAATCTAGTAAGTTATCTATTTAAAAATATAAAAATAATATTTAATAATATAAATTTCAATTATAAAAAAGGGTAGTTACATACCAAGTAATCTTTGAAATAATTGAAAACTATTGTAATTAGATAATAATTCAGTTTGTTCAGCAGATAATAGATTGTTCATTTGAATAAGAAGTTCAGAACCATTTTTACTAAAATATAAGATACATATATGACAATAAATACTTATTCCTAGACATAATATATTATTTTATTACCTGATACAAGCAATATTCTGAATCTTCATATCTGACGAATAAAATGTGGAGTTCAGTCTTTTATGAAAATATTCCCATAACACAATTACTGGTTCAGTAATTAACGACGACATTATAATGTTTTCCAATAAACAAATTGATAATTTCAATTGCATTTCATTAGGCTCATTATTAAGAAGTTCTTTAAGAATGGACACCAAACCACTATCTTTTAAGTCCTAATTAAAAATAATAAAGAGTTCTATATTTATTTCCATAATCTGAATTTAATTAATTACAATAATCAAATGTTGAGTTATTATGTGTATAAATTCACATAATTTTTTTTTTAAAAAGTAAAATATTGGAAGTATCTAATAACAATGTACTGGAAAAATATAATTTTATAATGTTTTTAACCATATTGATAAACCTTTTTTGTCATATTTTTCACTTTCTCTTTGACTATCAGTTTTAAACTATTAATTTATGACATTTCTTAAGGTATGGTTTCCCTGCAGCAACTGGAAGCACATTTACCTTATTTTTCTCTGTAATGTCAGATACTGTAGATTTTATTATTTTATCCCACTTTTAAAGTTTAATTTTAAAAATTGAATCTTAACCAATACAAGCATTGTATTTTCTGTACTTAATTTCCAATTTCAAGTTCTAATTTTTTAAACTTTTAACGTGAATAAAAATTTAATGTTGAACTATGTTATTAATAATAATATTATTATTAATTGTGAATTGCTGCTTCATAACGAATACATTCAAAATAAGCTACTTATGAATTTATTTAAAAAGAAAAATCTTTCAAAAGTTTGTTTTTCATAAGGAACACTGAAGGATTTTTTTTTAAATTTGCTTTGACATGTTAATGCCGAGCGTTTGGAAGTAACTCTGGCACTGATCCAGAAGCTGTGTCTGGACGCTGCAGGGAAACTATACCTTAATACTTTCTTTCTCTGCTTTATTCTTTTAATATCTACTTTAACATTAAAAATACTTCATTCATCCAAAGGATCACTGTTATTCTTCTTACCTTAGCTTATTTTTTTAAATTATACTAACCATTTAAACTTAATTTTAGTACTTGTCTAATATATTTAAAAACAATAATTTTATTTAAAGTCAAATTTGATTTTATAAATGGCAAAACAAAAGAACATTTTATTTGTTCAGTTTTCAAATAATAAAAGGGTAATAACAATATGAAAACAACTAATTATTATAGCTTAAAAATTAAAACTGATAAAATACATATAATCAAGTATACAAAATTAATCAGGATTAAAATAATAAATAATAAATTGTACAGTATATTAATAAAATATTAATTTTTTTAAAGTTAGGTGAACTTAAAACTTTTTTTCAAGAAAAAACAAATACAGTAGAACCTTGTTTATCCGTGTTTGGGATTAACCGTGCCCACTCTTCCGAACATTTTTAAACATAATACTCGATATCGATAATCGTATTAATGACACTTTTGACGATAACTTCATATTTTAAGCCCTAATAACTTGTTGTAGGTATACAATATTATGGATGTATGACGTATGTATAACATTATTGTATGTATACGTCTTCTTATGTATATTTCTAATTACAATTGAATCAAAATTTTTAAAATTTCATTATTATAAAAAGTCTCGATTAACTGTGATTTTCATTTATCCGTGTGACCCTCCTCATCATTACCCCGGATAATCGAGGTTCTACTGTACTTGAAAAAAACTTATTTTTATCTTGATCTATTAATATTCTAAAATAATTATTTTTATTATCTTATATGAAAAGAAGAACCTTATTTCTAATTATTAATTATTAACTGATGATTACAACAAGTTTAATTTATATCATGAATCTTTACTATTGATTACTTTAAAATAGTATTAATGAAACTTACTATTGATGATGATTTGTCAGATCGTTGTAAACTATTTAAAAGCCATAAACGAAAAATAAGTTCTTCGCAATCAACTAAATTAACATTTGTGAAAACTGAGTTGAAATACTGCCAGAAGTTCTAATAACAAATAAATGCAAATTGTATTGCTTCTATACAAAATACTGTTTAATTAATAAACTTACATCAGAATTGTACAATAATTGTTGTTTATTAATTAAATACTGTATGAGTGTCAAAAAATCATAAGTGCAATCACAAAGTAATGCATCTTTGAAATGAAGATCTTTGAGTTTTAACTATAATAAAATATAATAAGCATAAAATAACAATGTAAATCAATTGTAAAATTATATAAAATAAAACAAGCTTACTTTTTTAAATCTAGTTCTGGCTAACTGAACTAAATCGTTCATAGCATTATGTAAAGAATGTTTTAAAGTATCTTTACTTTTAGGTAATTCTGAAAGCAAAGATAATTGAAACCACCTTACATCCAAATGACAATGATATAAATGATAATAAATGTTATTCTGTAAATACAAGAAAAAATATATACATTTTAATATTTATTAATAATTCCAAAACAAAAAAAAAACCAGAATAAATCAAAGTTGAATGCATAGAGACAATTTAAAATATCTACTTATTTAAAACCCCTTTATTTATATTAGACTCATTATAAATATAAATATAATTTAAGTGAATTTCTGAAAAGTTTTTTATTAGAATTGTTTGTAAGTACTTGTAATATCTTTGTAGTTCTTTATGCATATGACAAACTAATAGACAAAAGTTTTTACATTATGTACTCCAATAAGATTTCTGTGATAATACTACGTACAATTTGCTTATTATTTTATTTATGTACATTTCAATTAAAAAAAAAAAATTATATAGTATAATTTCGAAATAAATAAATTCTAAAAATATAGTAATAATTAATGGCTAGTATTTTAAAAATAATAATCGCTATTTAATAGTGATTAAATGTTAAATATTTTAGTTTTATTGACTATATTAAGCAAATAATTGTTTCTTTGACTACCTATTTATGAATAAAATGTTTTAAAAATATACTTATCTCTATTTAGGTATACAAGTACAATTTAAAAATAAAGTATTTACGCGGTTTTTATAATTTTAAAATGTTTTAGGTAATATGTAAAATATACTTTTAAAATTAATAATTACTGTGCAATCAGATGAAGATAGTGCGTGTTGTATAATGGTCTCGGATAAATTATGAAACTGTCCAAGAGCTGAATATAAATTATTTAGTTCTAATTCAATTTTTTTCCCATGAGATTCCATCAACCAATTATAACTTTCACATGCATTCATTCTGGAAAATAAAATAAGTTTTAACAATTATATTAATGTTTATAAAATAAATAAATTACCTTTGAAGACAATCTCTTAAAAATAAAAGAAATCCAGAAATTTGCTGTCTAATATCAGAGAAGTTAATTGTTTTACAATTACTTTGATCTTGAGATCTAAATGTTTTATATTGATCTCGTATAACAGAACTTAAGCTTAACAAATGTTTTCTAGTTATGAAAATAGTAATATTCATTAATTAAGCATTTAAAGTAACAATACATTAATTTTATACATACTTTGCTATTCTAAATAGTATAGGAATATCATTCACTAAACTATTACCCTTATGAAATGAATTACCAAACAATACATAACGGTCAGATTGATTATTATCATTATTTGTAATAGAAATATTGATATTCTGTTCACTCCTAACAAATTCTTTATTCGAAATATTTGGTCGTCCTTTGCAGTTAAAACAATTAAATGATATTGTTCCCATTGTGGATTGATCTATATGTAAGCAAATTAAATAGGTATAAACACATAATAATATGAAGTATGTTGTATATAGCATAATTATTATTAATATCAATCAAAAACACTAAATATAAATTTACACAAATATTTTTCATGTTTACTTACTGTCATTTTCTATATCACGTCCTACTGAGAACAAATGCATAATATGTATATTTATTGACGAAATTAGTTATGAGACTTAAATTAAGGAAAACTGGTTTGCCACCTTCGGAGACTGTCCTGCAAGTGATTGACACTACTTGCCATCTGGTATCTATGCACTTGATAGAAATTAAAAAATAGTTGAAACTTGAAAGGTATAAAAACAAAATATAATATTGTAACTATTGTCTATTGACTATTATAATAATATAATGTGGATAAAATACTATTATTGTTATCAATTCCTTTCAAATATCATCTTCATACGAATAACATTCTGGCGGGAAAATTTTAGTATATAACGTGACCACTTATCACTTACATAGTTGTAATTTGTAAATTGTAATCATACTAAGCTGTCAATTATATAAGTTACCTATTAAATAATTATTTAACAATTAACAAATTTATTATAATACTAGCAATGGTGAAACTCGCTGTATATGAATACCATAGGTAGCTGAAAATTGTTTGAAGTGAACTTCCTAGATAGGAGTCAGGACTTTAGTATACAGCAGTTAGAAAAGTCTAGTAGGCAAAACCAGTGATAACGACGTTTGAAATGTTGGTACCTCTGATTTGGTGGCTCTACACTTTGGCGGTGTTGTTTTAAACGCGTAAATAATAAAAGTCCAATTCAAGCGTCTAGCGGTCGGTCATTTCATTAAATTCAGAGGTGTAATACACCTTGTCCCTTAGCTTGTTACGAAAATAGCAATTGAGTGTCTAGGTATCAGTTATCACTTATCACCCGGAACGGTAAATTGGATGCATTTCCTGTGGCTTGCCCGGAGCTTTTGAGTATGAAAAATAAATAAATACACTCCAAAACGGTGATTAAGTATCTAGTTATCAGTCATCGCCCAGTGAATATCGATACCTGACAGGGCAATCCGCCTTTACGTAAAAAAGTTCAAGTCGAATAGAGTGCTCAATTTTCAAGTTATCACCATTGAAAATCCAGTTAAACGCTTTTAAACTTCCCAGGTAGGCGATCCGACTGCGTTGGATCGCTGACGATGTGGGCGCAAAGCAAAGGGAAGATTTTAAACGTATTAATGAAAATATATGTCAAACGTTAGCTAGTCATGGTAAATACTAAATAGTGAGTCGAAGATCAAAAACCTATATATATTTAATAATTTTTTTTTTAGATAATTAACAGTCGTGAATTGTTCCTCGTTCGTCACGCACGTATAATTTACACTCCGCTTAATATGCATATACAACATTAGATCATTTATAGATAAAAATTATATATTTTTTAATTTTCAAAGATACAACTTATGAAATGTATAACATGTCATGTTACTATCAAAAGAAAAACAAATATAATAATATATTATATTATACCTAACACATAAAATATTATTGATAATTTAAACCAAACGTGAAATAATACTTTTGTTATAATATAATACATATGTAGATTAATACTTTTGTTTGATTCCTTATTATTTAATAAAAAATATACTCTTAATTTCTTAACAAGAAATAATCTTATTTTATTTAATATAAAAGATGTATAAAAATTAAAAAAATAAACAGTTATAAAATATTGCTTTGTTCATTTAACTTGTCCAACTTGGTACGATTTGTTTAAATATCCACTGTTGATTAGCATTATTAGAGTCACACGGTGTTAATATTACTTGATCAGATGATGGATGAACACTAAGACACTTTCTGGTTATTGTATGTAGTAACAACTTGTTGGTCTAAAAATAAGAAAATAAATGTATCGCTTACTTATATATATATATATATATACAATATACATAAATTAATAACTTAATCTATTTTTAATTACTTTGTAGTATATTATAAGGTTTATTGCATCATAGTTTTTTGACTTTAATGGCACAATATAGATTTAAAATACAAATATTTTTATTAAAAACAAGAGTTGGCTCAATGTGTTTTTAGTAAAATATTTGAAATTATTTTTCAGGGACCATAAAAAATATTATCTTAGATTATGTTAAAGCATACAATACTTTATACTTGGCTGTATATAAACATATTATGTTAATATACTTTTAATTTATAATAACATTTTAAAATTAATTCATTTATGAAATAAGTTTATTAGAAATATATATTTTTGAAAATTAACAAAAAAATGAATAAATTTAAGTTGTTTTGCAATGTAATTTTTTTTCAATTATTTAAATATAAATGGCTATAAAAATATAACTTACAAAAATGAAGTATCTATAAATTTATATTTTTAACCTTCAGGGCACCTAATGAATTTATTATCATATATTAGTTTATAAATTATACTTACAGATTCATATTGCCATGGTCCATCAACAGTTCCTAATGGACACACGACTAATTTTACATTTTGTCTATCAGCAAAAACACAACGTTCACCAACACCAAGTTGTCCTTTTGTATTCAGTCTAAAAAGCTATGGTAAATAAAAAAAGTTGTATTAAATATTAATGCATAATTTATAAAATCATTTTTTATATTTGATTAAATTATATTTTTTAAATATAAATTATTTTATTTATTTTATCTGAACAATACTATATCAATTATAGGAATACATCAATTAATACAATAAAAGAAGCTAAACTTTAGTGCTATAATTTTGAACTAGAAAAAACTGAAAATGATTCTAAACAAAAATTGGAAAATTATTAAAGAAGCGACAAATTCTCCTAAAACTAATTCATCTATTAAAACTATTATTAATACATTTGATAGAAAGCTACATATAACAGATAAGTCGAAAAAATATCAAATATTTTTAATATTTCAATAATATAACACTAAACAAGTATCACCAAATAAAACATACAAAACAATAAATACACATCACAGAAAATACAGATACTAAACAATTAACCACTAACATTACAGATATTTCATTTATAATTTTTGTTTGATTGGCGAAGAAAAAATAATAAAATCAATAAAAGCTTTGAAAAGCAAACCTTCTCTTGGATTAGACGGAATTATAGTAAAAATGCTCAAATTAAATATAACTTTATTAATTGAACCTTTACCTCATATTTTTAATCAAGTTATAACAATGTCCATTATATTCTGGATAATTTTAAAGTTTTGTTAATAATACCAGTATTCATAAAAGATGATAAATTTAACATTAAAACTATCGTCTAATCTTACAAATATCAAATATTGCTAAAGCTTTTGAAAAAAATTATTAAAAAATAACTAGTTAGTTATCTTAAAAATAAAATAAAAATCACCTAATACATACTGGTTTTAAGACCATATAAAAGCACTGAATAAGCAATTGCTACAGTATCGAGATGCATTTATAATTCTTGTGAAAATAAAAATATGTGTTACTGTTTATTTGGATTTAGCAAAAGCATTTGATACTATAGATCATATAATATTGTTAAACAATTTCAATAAATTCGATAATAAAGGTATGACTTACAATTTTATTAAGTTTATATTTAAAAAATATAAAACACATTCAAATAGATAATGAAGTGAAAAAACTTTATTAATGCGTGGTGTACTCTAAGGGATTACGTCATTGCTTACACTATTTAATAAACATATTAGTACTTTTTCGGAATGTCTTGAGATAAGGTATTTGCAACTGAACATAGCAATTTGAAAAAAATTCAAAAATAGTTATGTGAGATATTGTTTCTTAGCTTAAAAAAAAAGTGAATATTTTATCTCATAATAAAATTAATTCTAATCAACCAAATAAAATAAATCTAAGTATACATGAGAATAATTATTTAAATCAAATTGTATATAACTGTCAAAATTTTGTTGAGATAATGAAAAACTGTAAATACTTAGGTATAGAATGTGTCTTAATCTTAAATGGCATAACTATACAAAACTAATTACAAATTAATTAAGAAAAATAATGTATGCTTTCAAAAATCTAACAGATATATTAGAACTTAAGAAAAGTAAAGTGGTATATAAAATATAAATAGAATACATAATTAATTATGATTTAAAGTTAGGTATGTATAAAATTACAATAGATTTCTTAATAGAAATACTAAAAACTATTCTAAAAAAAGACTCAAGATACCAAATAAATGACTTATATAATAATATGAATGTACTACCAATAAGAAAATTATTTTATAAAACTTTAGTTCTTTATATAATCAAAAATAACCTTACTTTTAAAATTAAACACAAATATAATATAAACAAATATTTAACATTCAAAGTACCAACCATGCACTAACAATTAAAACAATCCACATTCTTATATATTGATCCAACAATTAACAAAAAACTACCACAGTAAATTAAACACTGCAATTCATTCAAAATTCTTAATATATATATATATATTAAGGCTTCTACAGGAACAAAATATAATTAAATAACAGGTCTACAGCATTACTAAATTACTATAAAAAAAATTATTTTAGCAATTATTAATATTTTTATATTATATAGCTTTATATTGTTATTCTTTTACTGTATGGTTTACTGTAAATGATGTTACATTAAATAGGAATTATAATAAATAAGTATTTCATTTTATTAATTGTGTTATTTATTTATTCAATTTAGAGTTTAAAATGTGAACTAATTGGCCACACTGGTGAGTTTTGCTATTGAATAAATAAAGTATAAAGTGTTTAAGAACGTTTTACTAATAAATAATAATAAATCAATAAAAGGCATTATTACATTATTAATATTTGTAATTTATATTCTAAACACAAAAATTTAGCATGCTTAAACTAATATAAGAGTAGTGTTGTATACTATAGTAATAAGATTTAATTATTTTAATCTTTTACCTGATTATTTCCTTGTCCATGACATAATTCTAAACCTATTAATGATGGTGGTTGATGACCTCTAGTATCTAAGCAAGTAGTTTTGCCAATATTTCGTAACTAAATATAAAACTTATATTAAATTTAAATATTTAACACACAATCAAATAAATTACTTACTTCTCCCCAGTATAGATTTGGAGGAAGTTCAGGAAATTTTGTATATACATCATACGCAACATTTTCCATGAACCATGAAAAATCCTTACATTGCAGTTTATCTTTCAATTCCAATTGTTTGGATATATCACCCATATCTAAGTAGCGTGCTAATGGTTCACGAGTATAAAAGAATTCTTTATGTTTATTATCAAACCATGTCTCAATCACACGTTTATAATTCTAAAACATTAAATACAATAATGTTAAAATAATATTTTAAAATAAAAATAATTTGGTAATATCTAATTCATACATATGTTATCAAAGGTCCTTTGACCTTCTTGCCAAGTTCTCCAAAATTATATGGCATAAATCCACGGTAAACATGTCCAACTCGAGAACAAGGGACCCACTCAATGCTTCCACCACATTGCCAAATCTAATAATTAATAATAAAACATACTTAATACTTGCATTATAAGCTTTCAATAAATATAAAAAATTATATTTTAACTGTCAATTTTAAATTTGAAAATTTTTATTAGATAAAACTAAGTTTAAAAATATGTTAATAAATGAAATATAACGTAAATCTTACTTTAAATGACAGTTCAAAATTTTCTCCTCCCCAAACAAGTAGCCCAGGATCATATGCTCCTAGTTCTAGAAAATAATTTCTATCGATAGCAAAAAGACCACCTGCATGAGTTGGAGATCTTGAAATAATTTAATAGAATTAATCATTAGTTTAAAACTATATTGTTTACAAAAAAATGAAATATATATATAAATATTACTTATAAGGTTCACTTTTGTAAATTCGTTTTCGTTCTTCTTGAGCAGGTATTTCAATTTCTTTATATAGCATTCCCCATTCAAATATACCACGGAATAAATGATCTTTTTCATAAACTGGACGATACTCCCAAGTATTATGATCAATTCCATCAATTACAGGTACAGTCATAATTTTTCTGTAAGAAAAAAAAATTGTTTTAATAAAAATTAATCTTAAATCTTATACATGAATAAAAACTAAACAAGTTGTAAATACCTATCTCGGGCAATCGGTGCAATTAATGGTGGTAACCAATTGTATCCAACTTCACAATGAGCGTCTAAAAATAAAATTACTTCCCCTCTAGCATTTAAAGCACCTTTTGATCGTGTTCTTATCAGTCCTTCACGTTCAGAATTTCTTATTAATCTTACTTTACCATTAAACCTTTCAATATAATATTCTAGTTTTTTTTTTAAATTTTCTGAAAACAGTTAATTTAAAAATTAATTAGTTTTTATCATTTATTTTTTTGAATACTACAAATTAACAAATTACCTTTATTACTAAAATCATCAACCAAAAGAATTTCTTCTAAAAATTGAGGTGGAGTTCTATTAAGAATACTATGTACAGTTCTTAATAAAGATGACCAACCTTCATTATGAAATACTATTATTACACTAGTGCGTGGTAATTGTTCTGGATAAGTCCAATATTTACATCTGTGTAATTTAATTAATTAAGTAAAGTTACAAGACATGAATTATATATAATTTAGTATTACTCTTCCTCGCGGTGATCTGGAATTGATCTATTTAGAGAGATATCGTCTGAGCAAGCCATGTTCATGCCATATTCAGAAAGAGACTGCAATGCTTCATTTTCTCGGTCACTTGGTACATGATGAGCTTTACCTTTTTCTCCAGGACCAGGTTTATTAGTAGAAGTAGAATACTCAAAATTACCAAGAATTTGATCACGATAAATTGGTATCTAAAAAAGATACAATTTTAAGTAAACATACAAATCATAAGTATAAGTACTTGCCTGATTTGAAAATCTATTATGTCTAGGAAGTGTTGATTCATGTGAGTTTTGTATATTTTCTGAACGTTTATATAAAGCTAATAGTAATAGTAAGATAACAAAAGTTCCAATACTTATTTTAGCAAATTTATTGCGTTTCAGCTGAATAATTCTAAATCTTATAGACATTTTTGATGTTAGAAAATGAATACCTATAATAAAAAATATGATTAATTGTAAGAAATATTATATGAATTTAAATTTTAAACATCTATTTTGAGACATAAAATAGCCAATTAGAATTTTGAAGTTTTTATACTTATCATATATATTTCAAAAAATAATAATTAATATAAATATTAATTTTAAATTATAAATATTTTTACTTACATTAGCAATACCAAATTTACAAAAAGTATAAGAACGTTGTTAAGTATTCAAGTTCAGGTGTTATATAATCAATTTAAAATGGTATTAAAAAATGCAATAATAGGAAGATGGCATTATACGTGAACACATTTTTGCATGTTTATTGTTGACGTATTAAATTTTAAATTTTTTGTTTTTTGTATGCTTGATATTGCAATTAATGATAAGAAAAGTATTATCTTTTAAGATTTACGTACATAGATTCGATATTATCTATATGGTTGTAACCATTATTTTAACCATGGTCGTCATTAAAAGTTGATTACCGAAAGATCACAAGTAATGCCAATATTGTTCAACAATATTTATAGTCAATGGTACCACTTATGGTATTCATAATAATATTATATTATAGAATGCAGACAGTTTGGTCCTTATATTTTATAAAATTTAATATTAGGTTTTCGTCTAAAAATGTGGAGTACGTAAACCGACGCAACTTGTTGTTTAAAAGCTTTATAAAAATTGTTATAATTCAAACCAATTCGGAGTGTTAAAAAAAAGTAATATTTGTTTGGCTATTTAAATAGTTCAATATTTTAACCTATATTATTTTTTTCTATAAATTAAATCAAAAGTTAGACAATAATGGCCGATAGCGCTAATAATATAAATCTTCAAATTTGTAAGTAAAAATTGTCTTATATGTTATTATTAATTTAAAAGTATAATAGATTTAAAAGTATACTCAAATGATAAGTAACGTACAATTATACATTTATTGTGAACGGAGAGATAATTAAAATTAAAAAAAATAAATATAAAAGTATACTTTTTTAACTACAAGTTAATATCTTCATTTTTCAATTTAGTCGCTATTTACAGATATTTAAAAATTTCTCCCTATGAGCCACAAGTTTCTTCATATTCTCACTGAAATATGTGGCTAGTCTTTCTTTTATCTAAGACTTCAATATTGCCTGGACTTCTTCGTACGACATGAAATAGGTGCCTTTGATGTCTCTTTTAAGGTCTGAGAATAAAGTGAAAGTCACAAGGTACTAAATCTGATGAATACGGGGAGTGATGAATGGCATCGAATACTCAACTCAATTTTTCTTGTTTTCCTGCATCAACATTTTCATTACTCAATTTTTCGATAACAAAGTTGCTGAATAATGAATCCAATTCTTTCTTGTGATATCTCAACAATATCAGCGATACGGTTTTGGGTTATACGGTGGTAATTTTTAATAAGTTTATCCACTTGAATTCAATAATTTTTATTTGGAACAGTTACAGATTGTTTATCACGATGTTTACCTATCCAGAATATTCATTTTACCAGGCTCACATAATTTACGTTTTGATACCTAATGAGATATCGTGATTCGATCTATAGTTTCATTACCGTAAATAATTTGTAAACGATGATAAATGTCTGCGAATTAAAATTTTCTGTGGTTAAAGATTATATCACATCTTGTTATTTTAAAATCGTTAACACAACGTCTGTACTAGGTTTCATTATGACACGCATTGATTAAATACAAGTCGAATGATGTTTAAGCGCTATTTCCAGGTATATAAACCATAAATATAGCTATAATCTGACATTAATTTGAAGTTGTTATCTTAATATGATTTTGTATTACACCCCACATATTATTAAAAATGATTAGTTATTAGTTAAAAATTTACTAAAAGTGTCTAGTATATTTTGAAAGAATAATAAATATTTAAATTGTTAATGTATTCGATAATGTTTTATAATATTATATACTTTTATTTTAAAGACACTTTGAAACTTTTCAAGAATAATTGATGTAAGTTTTTAAATTCATTTAAATTATAATTCCTTGTCACTAGTGATAAAAACTAGTTTTAATCAGATTTTTAAAAAAATATTATAAGCTTACCACTCAAACTTAACAACAGCTTTATATTTCAAACAAATTTAATACTTAGATCTCATTTTCGATAAATGTCTAACTTGGAAAGATCACATATTCGAAAAAGAAAACAATTGAATACCAAACTTCACTTCGATCTTTCTCACGTTTCAAACTAAATATCAAATTCAAAAGCTTTGCTTTGTTCAATTTGGTGTCACAGTATCCTAATTTTGGGCAGTGTAGTTCTTTCTAAAATTCAAATAATCTAATCGTTTCAATTGATATGTCTACGCACATTAACAAAATTCCTCTGGAATATTATTCTTCACCCTGACCTAAAAGTTAAGCATGTGAATAAGACTATTAAAACAGTTTATCAAAAACTTTATTGTAAATTTAGCTCCTACACCAATTTAAATATTAAACATTTTACTTCAAATTATATCCCAGAAAATCCACCAAGAAGGTTAAAAAGAGAATGATGTGAAGACCTCCTTGAGTGAATTCTCATCCCCTCCCTAAAAAAAAAAAAAATTAATTAAAATTAAAGTAGGTAGCTTTGTTGGGTACTTATAATATACTTATATTATAACACTAAATGCTTTATTCTTAATACTTGTTGTGCATATTATTATTGTAAATTAATTTTTTTTAAATAAAAAACGTGTACAAGAATCACTAGTAAGAGATCTTGTATTAAATGTTAAACTTTTTTGATCTAACTTAACACTGTTTATCAACATTCATAAGATTTTTTTTTATTTGGCATTAAACAATTTCTAGTATGTCGTATGTGTTAATATACATTATTTTGTAGAAATTACAAATACCTATGGTTATTCATTTTGTTAAAGGTAAAAAATAAATTAGCAAAATGATTTTATTTTTGGAATAAAAAGTGTCACAATATAAATATTCACAATTCCGCTGAAATTTTAATAATAATAATACCTTACATGTCACAATCAATATAGGCAATAGGCATCCACCCATAAAATAATAATTATTCTATAACAGGTGTACCAGATTAGCCTATTTAAAACGCCGTGTGACCATAACGTTATTGATGCATATTAATCAAAAAATAAAACCATTCTGTCTCTTTATAAATGTGAGATATTACTTTGTTTTAACTTAAGGATATAACAAGCTTTTTATAAAAGTATAACAGCTTGAGTAAAAGAAATTCCTTACTTAAATAATATGATATTTTATTATAGATAATTTTCATTCTTGGGCTAGTGTAAATTTCCCTAAAAAATAAAACAGCGAATTTTCTTAATAGTAAATTCCCTTAAAAACATTTCGCTATCGTGTACACTTACGTTAATTCCCCTAAAAACATTTTACAAAAAATATTAGAACCATTTAGTGTAACTCAGAGCCCAGAGGACACAACGTGGGGGTGGTTCTAGTTATTAGAATTAAATTGCATTTCTGACATACCTTCTTATAAATTAATAAATAAATACGTTATGTTAAAATATCACATAAAACAACACAAACGATGTTATATATTTATTATAGGATAATATAGATCAGGTAACGACTATGGTATAGTTGACTAAGAAGGGAAAATAGTCAGAACCAGTTAACCATTATTACTAGTTATTATTATTATGAAGTAAACTAAATTATTTTTTCGAATAGATATGTATATATATTCAAAAGAAAATAACGATTAAATAAAAGAGTAGGATTAGAATAAATATATTTATAGTATAAGATAACCTTAAATTTCTATTTGATATAAAAAATAATAATATTTGTTAAATTTTTAATTGAGATGTGTATAGTTTAAATATTTAATAATCATGTAAAGTTAAATATATTTGTACAATGTTTGATGTACATTATGATAAAAATTTAATAAATTTGTTTATTATAATTTAGGAAATTAGATATAATGCATTTACTTTTTATATTATCCATATACTAATTAATAAAAGTTTTTTTTTAACATAATTTTTTTTTATTAGCCAATTTGTTGCAATAAGCTTAATTGATATTATAATACTGTGTATATCACGGGAAACACAGAATGAAGAGACCTCCCGATAGAGGTACTTCGTCAATAAAATAAATAGTTATTGGTAATATAATATACGCGTTTAAATATATATATGTATATATATTTTTTTTAATAACTGATGTATTATGTGTTTGACATTCATATCAGCAGGTCTCACGACATTACTGCTTTTTTAATCTTTTTTGAGGATTACCAGGTATAGTTATGGATACGAGTTGAAAAATAAGTGGATTGGAGTGTTGGTTATAATAATAGTTTAATCGATTATTGAAACCCTTTTAATGTAGTTTGACTAGTTCAGTGACTAGATATTTTTAAGTCGGAGTGGAGAAATTTATTTGATAAAATGGAGCTTTTGAAATGGTATAAGAAATGTTTGATTGGATTCTTTGGGTACGGTTAATATTAGAATTTTTTCTGCGCCCTAGACCTGGATACCATGTGTTTAGATGGGCCTGAGCAGTAATTTGTAAATTAATGACTTGTTTGGTAGTTTTATATTTTTGGAAGTTAGCAAGGGATGAAGAAGGTGTTGGTAATTATTTAAAGATTGGACTTTGTTTTTAATATTATGAGGTAGCCAAATAAGACAACGGTAGATGTGAATTAATAAAAGTAGATTAACTTTTTCAAACTGAGTTAAGATAATATTTTTTTTCTATATTAACTTTTAATTTCTAGTTAAATGTATGATTTGTTAACTTTAAACTTCTAACTTATCAATACTCTTAATTTAACTTGAGTTAATTATTTTCATTAACTTGTCCATTTTTGGAATCAACATAAATAGTATTACGGTAGAAAAATATTTTTAGGGGAATTCATGTAAGTGTAATAACGTAGCTAAATGTTTTTAAGGGAATCCACAAAATGTTAAGGGAGTTAACATATGCTACCAATTCCTATATCTAAAACATTTAATAGTTTTATAAAGAATTTTATTATTTAAAATTTACATTAAAAATTTTCAATTTTTCTAAAAAAAAAAATTGTCACTGTGAAGAAGATAAAACCTATAAACTAATTGAAAAAAAGTTTTTAAATACATTTTACTGGACACATTCTAAATTTAGAACTTAAATTAATGATGTATAATACATATTCAACAAGTATACAATAAAATTGTATGATTTTTCAATATTATAGAAATATCTTATTGTATAAAGTATAATATTATAATGGTAATTTTTTTTTTAAATGATTTATATTTTTATTAG